ATATATAGTTTTTTTCTTTCCTTGAACGGGCACTCAGATAGCTAGCTAGAGCGCAGGCACGTGGCGGCATCCAGCGACGGCCTCTGTAACTATGGAACTGACGGTGCTCGGTTTATAGCGTCACTTGTCGGGAGGAGAGTGAGTGATTTACATCTGACTTTGAAAAATAAATGTATATTTCAGGCCGCATGCCGCACTATAATGTTTGTCTCGCGTGTTTTCAGTAGCTCCGAAGTAGCAGCGTTTTCTGAGCATGCTGATAAAGTGTTACATTAAAACACTAGCCATTTTGGTCAGTGTACTGCTTTCTGCGGGAGAGGAGAACCTCGTGTGCAACATCCTTCTCACACTTCTACCCCTGTCACACGTGGCAACTTAAGTGCACTTCGAGCGAGTACACTTAGCCATGAGTGTCATTTGATAAATATACGTAATTGCTGTCATATGCCGCTGAAGGTTCGGCTAAGCGTTCATTTGTTTTCTTTTTTTGATGAAGGAAATATAAAGAATGAGTGGGGAAGAAGCTACGTGGTTTAATCAGCGCGGATCATGACCTCGAGTATATATTTTTTTCTTTCCTTGAACGCGCGCTCAGATAGCTAGCGAGCGCGCAGGCACGTGGCGGCATCCAGCGGCGGCCGCTGTAACTATGGAACTCGACGATGCTCGGTTTATAGCATCACTTGTCGAGAGGAGAGTGAGCGATTTACATCTGGCTTTGAAAAATAAATGTATATTCCAGTCCGCGTGCCGCACTATAATGTTTGTCTCGCGTGTTTTCAGTAGTTCCGAAGTAGCAGCGTTTTCTGAGCATGCTGATAAAGTGTTACATTAAAATACTAGCCATTTGGACAGTGTACTGCTTTCTGCGGGAGAGGAGAACCTCGTGGGTAACATCCTTCTCACACGTGGCAACTTAAGTGCACTTCGAGCGAGTACACTTAGCCGTGAGTGTCATTTGATAAATATACGTGATTGCTGCCTTATGCCGCTGAAGGTTCGCCTAAGCGTTCATCTGTTTTCTTTTTTTGATGAAGGAAATATAAAGAATGAGTGGGGAAGAAGCTACGTGGTTTAATCAGCGCGGATCATGAGCTCGAATATATATTTTTTTTCTTTCCTTGAAGGCGCGCTCAGATAGCTAGCGAGCGCGCAGGCACGTGGCGGCATCCAGCGGCGGCCGCTGTAACTATGGAACTCACGATGCTCGGTTTATGGCATCACTTGTCGGGAGGAGAGTGAGTGATTTTCATCTGACGTTGAAAAATAAATGTATATTCCAGTCCGCGTGCCGCACTATAATGTTTGTCTCACGTGTTTTCAGTAGCTCCGAAGTAGCAGCGTTTTCTGAGCATGCTGATAAAGTGTTACATTAAAATACTAGCCATTTTGGTCAGGGTACTGCTTTCTGCGGGAGAGGAGAACCTCGTGTGCAACATCCTTCTCACACTTCTACCCCTGTCACACGTGGCAACCTAAGTGCACTTCGAGCGATTACACTTAGCCGTGAGTGTCATTCGCGCGCTGTCACACGAGCAAGTTTAGTGTCACTCGCTTCAAACTACACTGTCCGGCAAGTGCGTTCCCCAACCCCACTTCGCTGCGACGAAGTGTGTAGCCTCAGTACCAGTGGCTTGGACAGAATAGGCTGTTGCCTAATGTGGCACTCATACCATTTTTAAACTATCTTTTTCGTTATAACAGATACTGATATGTATTAAAACAAGTTATACTAAATCAATGAAAATTCTTGCTGCTTTCACCCTCGGCCAGTTTGCGGTCACGTCCGCTAGGCGTATGCGGCGGCACATGCTGTGCAATGGCTACGTCCGTCGCATTGTTTCCATCGAGGCACACTTGCACATGTGTAGGCGAGTCGTTCTCTAGTCGTTTACGTTGGCGTGTGCCACTGGTGCTACTTCAATGAAGGCAACGTGTTCCGACGATGAGACACGGGCATATTCCCCTACAAACAGACAGTTGCCACTGTCATCATTTCCAAAGTACGCTTCGCTTTCTCGTGTAGCAGCGAACCGCCGAAATGACACTTTGTGAGCGTAAGTACACTCGCTCAAAGTGCACTTACGTTGCCACGTGTGACAGGGCTATCGGATATTTCCATCAAACGGTTGAATAACTGCGTGTGTTGTGATGGTTGCACAGCGACTTGGTGCCCACCAGTGCTGAGGTTTGGCCTAGCGTGCATGGTATGAAAGAGTGGCAACGCAAGGCATTTGAATAAATGACCACAGCTCGAGCTGTGTTCTCTCTGTTGTTGTTGCCTACTCGAGCGCTTTGCTTTGACATCAATGCGACACGCAGCTTTATGAACCGGTGTGAAAATTAGTACTCGAAATAAGAAATGTGGCGACTGACTTTTTTTTTGTTCTGGAATCTTCGTCTACGAAGGAGACCTATAGCTTTCGCTTTAACTAACCTTCAGTTTTGTCAATAATTACTGGACACAGTGGTAACAAAGTGTCGTCAGCATAGACCGTTTCCCTTTGCCTGCGAAGTGGAGCACGCTTTGATCCTTTCAATTACACAAATACAATATTGCGACATTAGGCTTTGAACAAGGTGAACGGATGCCCGTTGAGCCAACACTACCCTAGACTATTCTAGCGTGGTGTTTGGTAGAGTTGTCACACACCATGGAGATTATATTCCGATCGCGGGCAAGAGACGCTGAACAGTGGGCTCTTTATGTCCAATGAATTCCATTACTGCTCGGAAGCGAAGGCTTGGGCGAATTCCTTCTATAGGCCTTTTCAATATAGACATCAGCTCATTCTTGGGCTGTTGCAGGGAGTACCGAAGGGGACGTCACAGCCTCGGAAGTGCATTTTTAAGGCGCCACGCATGTTGACAACAGCCCAGAGAGGATTTATGGTGGCGTGCAGAGAGACTTAGTTGACAAGGTGCATAGCCTTCTAGTCAGTAAAGGCAGAAGTATAACTTGCATATCATAGTATATATGCTGAATTGTTCGTGGTCAATCGTGCGTAGGTAAATTTTGCCCAACCAAAAGTTGGCGCGACTCTGAAACCCATACGTGTATACCATTGTTTCGTTTGAAGATGCCGTCCAATCACTGTAGATCCCAACTATGCAGTCAGAAGAGTGACAAAAGCCACCGCATAAATGCTACAGCTACTCTGAAACAAGCTAATGACGATAGTCTATCAAATACTTCGTTTGTTGCACGGCAGAGGCCGCCGCTGACGCAGGACGTCTGCGTCAGCGGCGTCCACAGTCTTTGTGGTTATTTTTTATATATAACTCTCAATTCCCGATACCATGCATTCAACGCTAGAACGTTAAAGATTTATTTAACCATGCTTTCTTGTTGCTTCATCATGCAAGTTTGCAAATATTTGTACACTTGCGCGCACCGAAGAAAAATGTTATGTGGACCATGAAACCATAGACCTACGCGCAAGGAGTGCCTCCCCCTTCCCTAATTATTTAACGGGGGCACCACCATACCCAGTTGGGCACGCCCCATCACTGCGCAGGCCTGGTGTTAAACGTGCGCACGAAGGGGGCGTGAACGTGGAAGCCACATCAGCGTGATTGTGGCATGTAGAGGCGTAACATGTAAAATACGCTTGTGTGCAGCTAACGTTAAGTATACGCGAACAATTCATTACTGTGCTGTATTGATGACTGAAAAGCAATCGTCGTGAAATAAATGGTTTAACGGCCAGCCGTAGTGTAATCCGTCCTGACCCACGTTGCTCACCTTGCCTCTAATTTTTTCATCATACGATTATTGCATTTACATTGGTGTGCACTGCGTAAAATATTAACTACCGTTAATTTCTAGGGTTTTAAAATAAAACAGTAAGCACTGCAATATGTTAATCATTGACCTTGCATCATTATAATCTGCATTCCGGGACTGAGAATTGCTTGGAATTTTGTCAAACCGTTGCACGTCAGTTCAAAAATTCTCTTTAAGAGAAAGTTTACAATATCGACAACAGTGAAAATTAGGCGAGAACATATGCCCTATGTGCTTTACAGATAACGCGCTCAAGTACTACACGTTATTTCGGCTGAAGCCCCCCCCCCCCCTTTTTTTTTCTTTGTTACCTAGCCAGCGTGCGATTTGTGTGCGAAAGGGTGATTCGAATTTCGCGCCCAAGTGCGGAATGTGGGAGTGGCTGCAACGCGCCGTAGGCTCGCTGTCAACGTGTTTCGATTCGCTGTCAACGGGTTTCGATGCGGATAATCTTATCCAAAAGATAACGTTATATCTTGTTTTACAATCCGTCTTTCATCTACAGTAGATCGACGCTAGTACTGTTCTGTCGAAGCCTTTGATAACGGAATGCAACACATTGAACCCAAGCTGTTGCGGCACAGTTAGGGGAAAAAAGAATGTGTATACCACGTTGTCAAATTTATCGGCGATATCGAGGGAGGGCTTCGTAGGGCGCGTATGTAACGTGTGATTCGTTTTCATTCCGTGACATGCGCACTGGGCAGCACCGTGTTTAATGTCGCCAGTCGCTCGTCCCGCCCGAAACGAGCGATATATATGCCATTTACGCTAGCGGCGCTCCTCAGTGAAGTGTCAGACGCCTGTGTGACTTGAAATCCGAGTGGCCCACAAAGCAGGTGGCTGGAAACTTTTGTGACATCTCAGCTGCCATCCCGACTCGGACCGCCCTCATGCGCGCCACGTAGGTTCCGGTTTTCAGTTCTCTGACCCCGCAGTGATGTCAGGGATGCCTTGGTCGCCTTCACCAGCCTCTCTTGGGTTTGTTCTTGCTTCTTTTTTTGTTATTTACGCTCTCGTACTGCGGCGCGCGTTTCTAGACTTTTCCGGCAAATAAAAAAAAGGGGGCCGAATTCGAACGCAAACCGCAAAATGAAGCGCTTGTCGCGAAGAAAATACCGAGGAACGAAATTTTCCAATAGCGGAATGCCAAAACGGCGGGGTAAAGAAAAAGAGAAAAAACGTTGACGTCATAAGTTAGTTTCGTATCCACTCAGTGTACACGTCAAAGTGCTACTGCGGTCGTGCCGTGATATTTGGGCCCACATTTGCGCTGGGGGCTTCGGAATTCGTTTCCGAGCCGATTGTTCCGGCGCACAATCACTTCCGACGTTTGTCTGGCGTGTTTTCAGCCGTGCCCGATGCCGACAAAGTTCCAGACCGAGTGTCAATATGCCTCTCGGCGATGAATGTTGCCCACAAGTATGAGGTAACGTTTTTTTCTTTCTCTTTTATCCCCTCTTTTTTTTTTTTTGCCCGATTAGATACGGCCAGCGGGTTTGTCGCTCCCAAATTGGTATTCCCAGCTCGGCCCGATCATTGTCTGTGACATTGTGGCGTGTCGAACATAGCCGCCGCGGACGGCGTCAGCTGTTTTCAGGCCACGACGACTCCCCTCCTCCCGTCTTGACACTTGCGGGCAGCACGGCGACTTGTTTCGCTGACGTGTTTGACGTTTCTGGCCGCGAAGTGCTTGACATTCGAATTGGTCGCCTTATCCGCGTGCCGAGCGACTCTCGGAGACCGTTCCGCACGGTCCCAGTGGTCGGGGGGGGGGGGGTTGCCTGGCGTGCGATCGGTCGTCACTCCCACTTTTTTTCTCCCCCTCTTCTATGTGATCGCATCTTGCGGGACAGGGCCACCGTCAGCACATATAAGCGTGGCATGTCTGCGCGCAATCGCCCCGTTCACGTTCGCTCTTCTTGGAACGTTGCCTGAACGTGACGCGTTGCGAACGCTTGCGGGGAAAAAAACAAGCGCCGCTCGTGCAGTAATCTTCGGCGCGCGACTCTTGTGGTCACTCGCCGATTCGCAGCCCTGTTTAGCGTTCTCTTCACTGCGCGTGCCTTCGCTGTGTTGCGGTATTTTTCCGAACCGAACGGGCGCTTCCAATATGCCAACGATGAAGTGCTCCGCTATGCGACGGCATCGTGTTTCGAGTAGGGGCTATCCATGACGCGATTCTTTTCTTTTTTTTGGGTGTTTCTTTCTGGAGCTCATATCTGTCAGGAATGCGGTGCTACAGCTCCCGTGTTTTAAAGTATAAACGGACCGTGAACAAGCGTTAATGTACTTGGCGTGCGGAGATCGTGTTGCCTCCCGAAGGTAAAACGTCATTTGACATTCCGTGGTTTGACAAAAGGTAAAATTTTAGTCCCTCCGCGACATTTTGAGATCGGATCTTGACACTGATGTCGTTACGCTATTAGAAGTGTGGTACGTATTAACAACAAAAAAGTGTGAAACTTGTCACGCTAGCACAAACCTATAACTTCAAAGTGACATCGGGAATCGATATTCTGCAATCTGGGTCATTCTTTATCGCTAGTTGCTGAACTTCGCAGTGCATGTCAGAAAATTTCGTGCATGTCACAAGAGCTTCTGTGAAGGCATGTGTACCGTTTTTGACAGAAAACCTAACTTCACTTAACGTAATCTATCGACAGAGACCCCTGGATACATATGTGTAAACATTAGTTAATATGTTCGCATTAATTTTACACAATATGCATTCGCGTTTTGAAACGGAAAGTAATTTCTAGAACAAGTTCCACCGCGATATTAATACCAGGCTGTCTTGAAGGTAGCGCTATAAATTATAACACTGGATTTGATGCATTGAAGTGTGGAATGGCCAATCTGTGTGCTGATTAGATGCATCTGACAGCAGCCATAAGAAAAATAAATGGTTCTCATTATTATATTAGTCTCCAAGTTGCCTGAATAAACATAAAATGCACTTTAGGGGTTGTTTAATCTGTGCTAATGAGCAACGCGCTTCTGGTATACAACAAAGTAAACAGCCTAAGCACAGTTACGCAAATATGCTTCTTTGATAAGCTAGCAATTCCACGAAAAAAAAAAGAGCAGTTTTAATATGCTGAACCTTGAATTTAAACTGGACACTGGTGTTAAGAAGATACTGCAGAGAAAGCAGGTCAGATTTTCATCATGAAAATAGCCTACTGATTTAACTTCTAATGTTTAGTCGGGTATGTTCTGGCCTCAAACCCATTATGGAGCCACTCGAGTTCACTTCCTCCTTCACTGTTATGCCATAACTCACTGCCTAGTCTTAGGTATAGAAGTTGATTGGGTTTGGAATTGATTTATTGCTGATAAGAACTTAGCCTTGTCTATAACAACACATTCTCAAACGGAACAAGCATTCTTTCACAGACACCTGTAAGAGTCCCTCTTATGTGTTCACATATTTGCCACATTTGAGATTCCTCTACTGGACCATTGTTGCCCATTGAAACATTCAAATATCGGATGAGTAGTTAATTGCCACTTCCAGTTGTACTTATAGCTTAGTGTGTAGGTTCCATCTTTCTTGATATGATTAGGTTTTAGCTTTTCTGTCAAACGCGAGACATCTTTGAGATTCTTCGACTTGACAAACGTAAGGTATTTTGTCCAAGATTCTTTGACTGAACTAAGTAAACATGCTTTATGTGCAGCATAGTGATGTTGTAGCTGAGTAATGTTGAGGACATGTTGAAATACCAAAGCGATGTTGCAAATGGTTCTTGATATATTTACATGGCAGTTAGAAACCTGTTTCTTTGATGCTGGGAAGTGCATCTGCTGTGGAAATATTTTCGCTCAAGTGCGTGTAAACCAGCTTTACACAATACGGAAAGACGATAATTGAGCATGTTTGTTAGCATTAAGTTCATATCAGTTTCATGCATCCCCCCCCCCCCCCCTCCCTTTTTCTTGACCTCTATACTACATTTTCTTGTGACATCTCAATTGACCATTTACAAAATCCGCAAGGTGGTTTTCTTGCCAGGTTGTTTTGCAACCAAAAACTCTCGTGCACAAGATTAGTTCCCTCGCTCTCTGCTTTTACCGCTGCCTGATTTCAGTGAAAGCACACGAGTGACGACAAAACCACTTCTTTCCTCAACAATTACACTGAGGTTGTTCGCCATGTACGAACCCTCAGCCTATAAGATCGCATGGTTTACGAAGCACCTGTAGTTCGTAAAGAATTGATTGATATCTGGGGTTTAACATCCCAAAACCACCATAAGATTATGAGATGACGCCGTAGTGGAAGGGCTCTGGAAATTTCGACCGCCTCAGGTTCTTCAACGTGCGCCCAAATCTGAGCACACGGGCCTACATTATTTACGCCTCCATCGGAAAGTGCAGCCACCTGCGGGTCAGCAGCGAAGTATCTGAGCCACTAGACCACTGCGGCGGGGGTCGTTCGTAAAGAAGGCACTGGGTGTGGCGGGAAGGCAAGAACGCAGCGAGTGAGAAAAGCAGTCTGTGATTGAGAGGTATTGGTTTGAAAACAAGCTTACAGAAAAGCCGCCTTGCAGATTTTTGTAAATGGTCAATTGTGAGACATCTGTGTCATTACACCTCAGTTTTAGAGAATCGCTTGTTCATTTGGTCATCTGTACCTTGCAGGTTCCATCGTTGAGCTGTGTCTATATCCATTCTGAATTGAATGCGAGTAGCTAAAGGCAGAGTTTTTATTTGAGAAGCAACAGCCTGAGATAGGTTGTAATTCACATGGAACTGTTGGCCAGAGCATAACGCTTTGTCATGGTGTGCCGGTCTGGCTGGGTGCGTGTTCGTTGGCCGCTTGACGTTCTCTTTTCGTTTTTATCGGACTGCTGCGCAGTGAAATGAAGTGTACGTTTTCCCTCTGGGGCTGACATTGAGCCAGTTGCAAGCGCTGAGCAGTTTTGTCTTATCTCTTCCCCAAGAGAAAGCGGCCAGCATCGGCTTACAAGGCCACGTGCACACTCCATCTCTCAGCCTATTCGTTGTATTTCTGGATGCGTGGGATAGTGCAGTTGAGTTCACTTGTGCTTTTTCTCCTGTATTCTACCATGCAGGTAGGTTACTCCTGGGTAGCTTGCTTACTTTATCCATTACTCGCTGAAAGACTTACTTGCTGCAAAATTGCAAACAATTAATGGAAGTTTTCTGTTTGGAGGAAAGAGAATTTTTTTGTGATGTTCACCCAGTCTTATTGACATATTCAACTTTCACTGGTCTCGTTATATTACATCGCATTGTGCTTGCATTTAATGCATATTCATTTATTTTATAGATGGCTTAGTTTTGTAGATGTCAGTATCTGTGTGTGTGCACCCGTTTACTGAGGTATGTCTTGGTTAGTCTAAAATCTGGCTGGCGCACTTAGAATGTGACTTTGAACATAGGGCAGCATTCTGGTGTCTTCTGCCCTTGTTCATAGTGGACAGTTTGTTGATTTTCTCTTATTCTCAGTTACATGGAACGTTGGTTGATAGAGTAGTCGTCATCGGCTGCTTCGCCAAGTTGGGATTTGGCCTGCGAACACATGGCCACAAGTTGCACCATAGCTCCATAGCTATTGTTGTGATGCTTAGTTATGGATCTTTGGCTGATGTAATGTAACCCAGCTGTGCTCGTTCCTTCGGGGATGGATGCGAAAACATGAGCTTCAGTATTGTGCAAGTTCTTTCGTCTGTTTTGCTTCGCTTCAGCGTGCTGTCATTCCACAATGAGCTAGCAACAGCATTGTGGCCTCTAGGTCTGTTTTCTTGAAAAAGTCTCCCAAATAATCACTCTATTCTTTTATTTTTCTTGCCAGCTGTGTGTGTTGTTGTTTAGGACGGAGCAGTCTGGCTTTTGGAAACCATGAAAATAAAAAAAAAAACTTATTTTGGCAGTGGTGGTCGGGACATTGCTAACAAATGTTAGCTACATTCGTATGCCAGCATTAGGTCATGGCGATGTAGCTTGTAGCTATATTTTCATGTGCATTGAAAAATCTATGAAGCAATGAGATTTAATTGTGCTCAATGTAGAAAACAGAGTCTCATTTTAAAGTGCAAGGTCTTGTGAATATCTCAAAGAGTTGCTTGTTGGGCAACTTGGTACATACTTAGTGAACTACAAAAGCCACAAAACGTCGAAATTGGAAAAAGCAGAGCAGCAGAAATAGAGACGGACGTCTCTGCTCTCTGTCTCTGTTTCTACTGCTCTGCTTTTTCCGATTTCGACGTTTTGTGGCTTTTGTAGTTCACTGTTGTAAATATGTTTGAGATGCTAAAGGCAGCATTGGTTGGCCTTTATTGCTTAGAATAATGCATGCGCCGATGCGTGCAGTGGAGTGTGTTGTAGAACTCCAGAATATCTCTAGTGCTTTCGAGCCTTCTTTTTTTTCTTGCAACATTTATTGCTTCCTGATGCTATCTAGGTGCTTCATGTTGCATTACAACACAGTGACAAACACAAGTGCAGATCCTATGCATATGCATCACGAAGAAAAAGTCCTCGAATACAAGCTCTCAAGTTGTAAATTCTTCAGCTACCGTGCAGCTTTTGACTTGGTGATTTCGGTGAGCTATGTACATCGCACCTATGTGATGTAGATAGCTGCATACATTGTTTTTGTAATTGTTATTTGTACTTCCGAATTTATTAGTAGGCTTAATATATTCTTAAAAAGCTACACTGTGCAAGGCACAACTACATTGAGCATTGGTAGAAGCTTTATTAGTCACTAGATCGAATGCGTACTATCCTAAGTGTCAAATGCTACACATTTAATGTATTAAAATAATGGTTAAGCGTGTCAAGTATATCATTTCTTAATTGTTTTTGGTGTTTTGAATGATTGAATTATAGAGTATTTTAAGTGCAAAATGCATTAGTTGTGATTGTTGGCAGTGAGCTTTGTTTCAGTGAAACATGTACGTATGGTATGACTATTGGTATGATAAGCAGAAGTGTAGTAATAGTACCCCCCTAGGTATTGATGCTGGGCTGCTTACTGGTAGTTATCGAGAGAGTGGGAATGAGAAATTTTTATCAAAGGGGCAACTGTCTTGTTTACTCAATGTTAAGATTTTAATCTACATTATTCTCGTTAAAAAGTTCGGTACTGTTTGCAAAGAACCATCTTTTGAAAATATTCTGAATTCTCTACCCTTGGGCTTAACCTGGGTCTAACATGCGACATAATTGAATTCTTTGCATTTTGCGTAGGCTCGCATCATATAAGAAATTTGCAGAGAGATAACAAGAAGCACCATTACAGGTCAATGTTGCTTTTGGAAATTGTAACAATGTCAGGTGCAAAAATGTTTCGATGTCATTAGGTATCACTGCACTCTCTAGAGGCTCATTATGAAGCGGCAAGTAAGATGGCAAAATAACAGCAGCCGTGATAGTCAAGTGCGACCTCTTTTGTGGGGTTTGACACCTGGGCTTTCAAACAATTAGCTTTGTATTTATGTAATGCTGGTAAAGGGAAATCTTTTTTTGTTTTTATTTTAGCTTAACAGGACAGTGACCCTGAAGCTTGTTATTAAAGTTACTTCTATTCATATTTTGAGAGATGATTTTTAATGTTTTTTCAGGTTCGCTGGCCTGTGACACAGAGCGTGACTCGATGCCTGCCATAGCAAGCACTGGTGAGTTCATATTGAGAAATTAAATCTAAAATTTTAGTGTGTTTATTTTCACAGATTTTAACCTTATCCCTTTTCCATTGCAAGGTAGAGATTGAGTTTAAGTTCTTCATGCCTTTTAAGCAGTCAGGCTAAGGAAGTATACCAGTAGTGAAGAAATTTGCCCATTGGGTATACACTGATGCTCGGGCCATAAACTATTCAGCTATGTCTTGTTTTGCGGTAATAAGTGCACATTGACAGGTAAGACAGTTTGTTCATATCCTGTTCGTATCCCCTTCATCCGCATGTTGTTATTGACGGTCTAAAATGTGTAAAATTCAGCAACATAAATAATTCCAAGGCACTTGATCTTACATTCCAAGAAATAAAATGAGGTGAGACATTGTTTTGCACAACTTTCAGTAATTAATGATAATTGGTACATAATTAAGTGACTAATTATTCTGCAATCATTCACTTTCAATTTTCACATAAAATAATCTGATATTAGTCTCAAATTGCATGCTAGTCTTTCTTTCCTTCTTTTTCCCCTTTTCGAGCAAAGAAAAATAGTACTTTGACATTAGAGCTAAAACACTGCACATCAAATGGTCGTTGAACATTGAGCTGGTAGTGTTTCCAGCAAAGTGATCCTCTGCAGCAATGCACAGCACAATGAAGTTAAATGACCACTAGTTGTTCACTCAGGCAGCCTGTGCAATCGGCATCAAACCAAACATGAACAGTGCGAGTGTGTGCCAGTAAACATTACAGGAAGTAAAAGAAGTTGTTGTTGGGCTAGTTGGTATAACATTTCAAAAAAAATAATTTGAGCACAAACACACTACACATTTACACACACACACACACACACACACCCAGGCATCAAACACGTACAGTGCTGTGCGTGTTTGATGCCTGGGTGTGTGTGTGTGCGTGCGTGAATGCATAGTGTGTTTGCGCTCAAATTAATATTTTTGAAATGTTACAGGAAGTGTTGTCTGCACCCTCCAATAATCGCCTAATACAGGTCTGCTACGCACATTCGGTGTGGCAGCACTGTGCGATTCCCCTAGAGTCTGATATTTTAGTCTCTGTTCTATTTATGATATTCTAAACAAAGACAACAAAAATTAAATTAAGGGATAAATGAACAAAAGTGCCTGGCATGCCCATGTTGCCCCTGCCAGCCCCATATCAGTAGCTAGAACACAAGCAGAAATATCGCATTGCTGAGAAATCGCGCAGTGCTGCCAAACCGGATCTACGCACTCGTCAGTGGTGGTGACTCGATGGAGGGCACTATACCATTGCTAATGCTTGGGCCACACGTTCTGCTGTTTGCATATAATTTGATGTTGATAGCACGAATGTGTACACTACATTTCAAGCAAAAAAAATCGTGCAGTGCGCAACGCACCTTGGTAGGTAGAGGTGTAGAATTGCACACGGCTGCTGAAGAGAATACCGTTGACTAACTTATTGGGTCAATTTGTAGAGGTGTAGAATTGCACACGGCTGCTGAAGAGAATACCGTTGACTAACTTATTGGGTCAATTTGTGTCCCTGTGACACTAGTCGATGCATCGTTCATTCTTATGTTCACTTATTATGTGCCACTTAAACAGTAGTGGTATTAACAATCGAATGGACTTGCTTACAGGTTAAAATGATAAATACTTGGCCCAGCAAAGGGATCTTCAGCCAAGCTGCTGCTGGCTCCTAATGCATTTCTGTGCTTGTCTCTTGGCTTTACTGGGCTTAGTGATATCAAAACGTTATGTGTAGAAGCTTTATATATATTGTCCTGAAGTTATCAGTTTTAGCTTGTTCAATAACGCTTACATGAAGGCCGTTTTAATTGCTAAAGATGAACGAAACTGTTGTAAAATCTAATTGGATTTGATTGGCAAAGCAAAAATTTGTTCACGTTTTCATCAATTTTATGGGATAAGCAATTCCTCATATTTAGTTAGGTCTTATCCAATCAGATTGTTCTCACTTTATTATTTTGACAGTGAGAGTGGTATATGGCATAAAATGTCTACAACTTTCTTAGTCAAGGAATTTTAAATTACAGAAAAAAAGCAAGATTGAGTGATGTCGCACATTGCTCCATGCGAGATAAAGCTTGCTTCATTTGGATGGGGTCTCATGGTTCAAGATACCACTTTTCTATTGTCACAGTTTCTCTCGAAAGAAGGCTAAGTTGATCATCACAGGATCACCTTGTCAGCGAGATATTGCCGATCAGTTGCAACATGCTTTGTCATGTAACATTATCTGGGTCTTAATGCCTACATCAGTACGAAGTTTTTCCGTCTATATTTCTTGCGCGGTGATGTGAAACAGGGCTATTACTATTTTATGATGCACTTGTTCTTGAAATAGTGTTATCTACTGGTCTGGCTATCTTGTCTCTACTTGTGCGGTGTGTATGCTTCAGATCTTTTAATTTTAGGGATTTAGCAAGAGCTGCACTCATGGAAAATATCAAGAACTCTCACATAATGACGCGTTCACCAGCTTAATCTAACAAATGACTGCAGTAATTGAAAAATTGTGCAAAACAATACCAATATAACACATACAACCTAACACACATTATGTGCCACAAAGGCTGCATCAAAGACAGTAGACTCACTCTTGTGAACAAGCAACAGCATTGTGCCTACGGACCTCCCTCTAGAGTCTACCATCGATGGTGGCATGAAGCCCCCAAAAGAGCCCAAGTGCTAATTCTCGTGGGCCCGCATAACCTCGTTTCTAACTGCCGCTGCTACTGGTTACACTGAGCTAACACTTTGGCAACTCTTGGCAAGAATTAAGCTAATTATGATGCACAGGTGCCATGAGATGAACAAGACTTCGCAGGTTGTGACAGCACCCCCACGTCGGACATGTACTGTGTCCTTCTGTTCCATGAGGGCAGCTCTTTTGAGACGCCACAATTGTAGTGTTGCATCATTCAAATAAATGATGCTGTGTGTGCAGGGTCCCGTGGAGGAGGCACAGCTGAGCCCCTGATGGCTGCCCCACCCGGCAACCCAGAGGCACTCCTGAATGGTCAGCAGCAGCAGGCACCCTTTAGGCCACCCAGGCAGCCTGCCGCCACGCTGCAGCCACAACCACAACCACAGCCACTCAATCCTGAGGTCCTCGGGGATCGTGGCGAACCTCGCCTACCAGGTCACTGGGAGGTATGTACTTTTTCTTGCACGTCAACTCCCTAGAATAAGCTTTTGTGATTATTGACTGACTTCAGCAGCTTTTGGTTGACATCTGCCGAAGTTTCAAAGTGGAACAAAGCTCAGGAAATTTGTACCCATCCCTTGGAGCTTCCTAGTCCAAAAAAGTTCCCCGTGGTACTGGACTTGATCCTGAGACTAATGCCTGTTCATAGTGGTTGCCCTGCCGTCTAGGTTTACTAGGTGGTTAGCCGATTATTGTGCAAGGATAAAGTGACTGACGGGAAAAAATGACATTTGCTCTTATGAGCTGTCTATGTTCTGCATGCCTCAAGTAATGGCAGGCATTGGTGGTAGATGCTTCTCCGAGCAGTGTGGTGGCAAGTTCAGTCTCCATAACTGCATTATTTTCATCCACATACTCATTTTCTGGCAGTTCATGTGCATATGAATGCAGAAATAAAAAGATAAGAAATTTAGGAACCGATGCGCATTTACTTTACTGCGTTGTGCTACTTCAAGTTGATGCCTGCTTTTTGCTTCGATTCTCTATGTTGCCCTCTTGCAATAATCTGTAGCTCACTCGGGACATGTTCCTGTTTGTCTTTGCAGGTGGTGAATGGTGAAAAGAGCGGACTGCGCTGCAAGGGCCCAGTGCAGAAGGGCTATAACGCTGCCCCCATGGGCGCTGTCAGCGCTGCCGCTCCGTCTTACGTGGCACCCCCGCATGTGGTGCTTTTGCACATAAATCCGGGAGAGACCATCTTTTTCCAGATGGGCGATCAAATGCAATTTGTGCAAGGTGAGTGTGTGGCCTCCCTATGAGACACTTCTATTGCCTGCAAGCTCTTCCACAGCGAAACCACATTTCCGTACCTTGGGCTGTTATCCTAGCAGTACACAAGGACAGTAATGCAGATCATGTGATCTGAGAGGTGAGGGTGATGCTTGGAAGGACGGGGAAAGGGCTGCGCCTTACCAAGAGTGCTGGTAGAAGGGCTTGCTTGAAAGCAGAGAGGACGAGGAGTGTTATCGTACAATCAAATAAAGAGAGGGTGTACAGGAATGCCCCGCCGAACTTCTTGGCGAGACATGGTTGTGACGCACGCAGTGCCGCATTGTCTGTTCTCACACACGGCACCCAGAGAGTTGTGGCTCCGTCGGTCACTACCATTGCAGCCATGCTTGTTATGCACAGCACCAGTGCTTGCAACTTTCAATTCGTTCCTGCACATTCATGATACAGTGTAACCTCGTTACAACAAATCTGATTACAACAGACTGTCTGATTTTACATACTAGTTGGCGGCGTTATTCCGACCTCCCTGTTTGTTCCATTTATTTAGCTTCACTTGCTACAGATTCTGGTACAATGGACATTCGGATATGATTGACTGATACGGGGGCTAATAAGGGGGTCAGGGATCCTTTAGTGGACCTTTCTACCACAGACATCCCAAATCCTATAACTTCTGACTTCTAACATCGCCTGACATACTTTCAGGGTGCAGATCTCCGGTTCGTTAATGACTAATTACACGAAGCTACGGCGATGAAAAATCTCCGCACAGCGTGCTTGGTGCAACATGCAAAATTGCTGGCCGCTGCCCCTGCCGTTCCGAGCGGTCTGTGCGTAGCGAGCTTGGCCAGGGTCCGCCACCGATGCACAAGAGGCCTATTCGTGGTTCTAAGCAGCCAGTGGCCATTGTGATTTGTTGCTTGCCATGAAGCACATTACAGCTTCTTCGCTTTCGCATATCCGCTAGCGGGACGATCTTGCCCGCCAATATAATATACTTTATTTATTTATTTATTTATACATATACCTACAGCGCCCTCTGGGGGCATTGTTGTAGGGGGGTTTACCAATTCAAAGTACATTTAAATCAGTGGGGACAAGTTGAATCGCACGACACTCAAAAAATAAAAACAAATCAAAAACACCTAAATCACAGCATACAATATCGTTATTTGACCACATACTCCTTTCAAAGGGAAGGAAATGCTGTGGAAGGGGCGGTCACAATGTTTTTTGTTTTTATACCCGCCAAGTTCGCAGTGAACTTAGGCCTAGCCATGACTTAGAGCAAAAAGCACGGCTGCGATGTGCATGGCTGTGGGGTCCAGTGTTTTTAAGTACAACAACGACATGCTGAATCAGGAGTACAAAGATTTCTCTCATCGTGGTTTTCGTCGCAAGGTCCAAAGCACTGATAAGCAGAACGTTCCCATCGAGTCAACAGTCTGTTCGAGATGTGCATGTGTGATCTCCACGACGAGTGCGACGCGTGATCGTAATCAACTCAACTTCCGCTTGCAGCAGCCTTAACTAAGGCATAATTGTATTCTGAATTATCGTCTACCTGTGAATATATATTGAAAGCAAAAACGTCGTCAATTTGCGCGAATTTAGACAGCTGGGACCTCGCAGCTGTCTAAATTTATGTCTAAAGCCACAGTACAATGATTTAAAGAATTCTCCTTGTGCAAGCCAGCGCATTAAGACAGATGGTGTGTTATTGCAACAGTAATGGTTTACTGCCTTCCTTCTCTTGTGCATCACGTTTGCACCCTCCACGGACAGTGATGTTGGCCACAGCAGTGTGGCGAAATATTTGCTTCAGCTGTGCTGTTCCATCTACTGATCAGCCTTGCATCCTCCGTGATGCCACTGTCTCCTATTGTTCAAGGACTGCAAGTTCTATGCTGGCGCTTGATATCACTGGAAATGGTCGACCATTTGTGCGTAGCTGGGAAGGTTTTTTTATTCTTAATCTTATGCTTTGTCTATAGCTTTTGTACAATGTGTTTTCTAGGAACACTTTTTCCTGCAGTATGCGGGATTTAGTGCGACTCATTGTTACTGTGTGTTGGATAGAACGTGCCAACAATCTTTTATTGCCTGTACCTCCTGAAAGTACAAAGAGCAAATGTTTTGAAGCATAAGTTATTATGAGCTACCAGCAACAGCCTATTTTAGGGGCCTAGTTGTCTGCTGTGACTGGTGTATGTCGCAAATATCATGCTCAACAACAAAAAAAAAAGAGGCCAGGATCAAGACTGGACTACGGATTGACTCGCGTAAAGAACACACTCGTATAACAAATGCACCCCCAACTTCAGTTGTCAAAACTTAATTTTCTTTTTCCTTGCTTAATAAGGGCGCCCCCTACATTTATCTGCTGTAGTCCCGCCAACCGACACTTTGCACCTCCTCACCAGTTGGATCTATTCCGTTTTTTATTATGCCGACCCCCCTCAGCTACCTCGACTTGCTCCCTTTCTCCCTTCACCCATTGCCACGTGTCGTACTGTTTTTTTTTTTTCTATCTGTGCGTAGCACGTATTCTGTCTTTTTTATCTGTGACCCACAGCGCAGTTCATGAACTGTGCGAGTGTAGAGACATCGCAGATGATAAGCACACAGCGAGCGAAGGTCACAAAACTGCCCGTGCCAACTGACGGTCGCTTCCTGCGAGTACGAAACATTAAAGCCCAACCACATTCACGCGATTTTAGAGCGACGACGACGGGATTTGTGGTCGCGAAGGGTCATTCGCGTCCCAGGTTTCTGGAAACCAGAAGACATCACTTGTCGCCCAGAAAAGATTGTGACGATTTCCGCAAATTGGTAGCACCCGCAATTCTCGCTTTGCTAGTTCTCCATGCGTACAGGAACTTCTCATGTGAAAGCGAGGTGGTGGCCGTATTTTTTCGTTATTCTTGTTATTGCCGATTTGTTTTGATGCGGAGAGGGTAGCTTGCTGCAATGTTGGTTACTTGCTACAATGTCAAGGGCGTCGTCATGGTTGTCGTGTGAGGTTGTCGCGAAGTTGGTAAAGTGCATCGTAGCGCATGCTTCTGGGTGCCTTTCAAGATCACAGCAGATACTATTGTTGCGTTTAAACGATTGCGAAAAAAGATAGCCGGAAAACATTTTTATGGCGTGCGTGGGCGGCGCGGGGACAGCTTGCAGAAAATAGCGCCATCAACCACAGAAGATGAGTAAAGCGCAACAAAGAAGCTGTTTTGAACGAGTGTATGCATATGTTGATTGCGAAAGGCTAAGTGACCTAGCATTTTTTAATGTTACATCATGCTTTGCTCCTGCTGAAAAAGTTTCATAAAATTTGCCCCTCGTAATAAACGCACCTTCAACTTTGCTCCGATTTTTCGAGAAAAAAAAGTGCGTTCATTATGCGAGTAAATACGGTAACTATAATTGCCTAACTCTTTCATTCGCTACACTTATGGTCCTGTGATGGTTGAGGGGTTTGTAGAAATGGCTAACGCGGGCCTTTTACATGGCACTCGAGTATTGTGCCAAAGAGCCACGCTGGTGCCTGAAACCTCTTTCAGAAAAAACCCCAAGTAGGCATCGTGTCGGGCAAGGAATCGCGTTAATAGATGTAATATTGCACAGCAGAAAAGCAACATTCTACAAGCCATCACATATTGTGAATAGCATAACAAGTGGGTGTTTTAAGGCTTTCACCCCATTACAAATAGCCTAGCTATAATGCTTTGTCATCACCGGGTACAGCAGTGACAAAGTGTGCAGCTATGTAGGCGTCTGTATAGAGACCCATAGTGGGCTGTACCCTACTTCACAGAACGAGGATTTATTGCATGGGAGGTACCATGCAACTATATTTGCAGTAGTTGCCCCAAGAGAGGTTACAAATGAAGGCTGCTTCTGCATCCTATGCTGTGCTTTTATATAATTTTATATAATTTGCTACATTGACGGTCCTGTGGTTGTCGAGATGTTCTCAGATATACCATTCGTCTGTGCGTCCGTTCGTCCGTCCATGGACCGACGCATCAAGGACGGACGGAAGCGTGGACAGACTGATGGACGCTTCGCCCCACTCATCAACATTCAATCCATGGATATGTTGTGATTTTTTTCCATTTCTTAGGCAGCACCACCTTCTCAACTCGCCTGTTTTCCAAAGTAAACATAACGTCCACGATTTGATGGGTCACTGTGTGGCCACAAGCACGATCTTTATTTCAATAAAAATATACTCGTAATATGATACTCAAATGTGTGCAGAACCATTGAAATGTTTCTCCAATTCTCAATTTTTGTGTATATAGTTTTCTAAGTGCATTAACGATGCGAGTGAGCGAAGTTGGAATGAGTCACAAGCTGCCGTACCACTTGCGGAGCAGCAGGAATGGGCAGAAGCCCTGCCTTTGTACTCTAAGCTTCACTGTCAAGATCAGATTAGTTGTCGCTGACTATAGCATAGAATTGGGCATCGATTTGCAAGAGCACCCCAGGACCACACAGAAAACTGACAAGGGAAGGAGGAGTAATATGGAGGAGCGTCCAGCAAGGAATGTACCTGCACGGGAGGGTATTTGCAAGCACGAGTTTCTATAGGCAGGGGCCACTGTCTTGCTGCACTGCTGGGCAGTGGGATTACAAGTCTAGGGGGGGCTGGCAGTGTGTACAACTTGTAATGCCACTGGTACACAGCCTAGAAGAATTGCTTTAGCATTTGGGCTGGTTCAGTCAGCTCAGGCCCTTTCAGTGACATCAATTTTTTTTTTTTTTTTTTAGTTTGCAGTCGTAGCAGTGTTTTATGGTTCGCCTTTTTCTAATACCACTACACAAGCGAGCTTGATTGTGGTTGTGTGCAGGGCCTGCCACAGTGCAGCTTGTGTCCAACAGCAGCACACCTCCCATGGCGGTGCCAGTTCAGGTGCCTCCAGGTCATGTGATGCAGCAGATAGTGGATGAGAACGGCACCCTGCGCCACATCATCCTTTCGCCGCAACCTCCTCATGTCGCCATGCCCCAGCCTGCCCCCTATGTGAGTTTGTACCTCGATGTTTGAAAACAGATTCATTGGAATATCATCACATGTCTTCAAAAGTTGTAGACACTCTGCCACATGCTCCTAGCTGATAAGTAGACAAGCTGTGGCTAGTGCGCAAGCTTGGAAAATATTCAAAAGAAGTACTTTTAATTTTATAATAATGTTGTCCTCCAAGTCTCAGATTTGGCATTTCTAGTATCATCACCACGTATGCCGAGATATTACTGAAATATGCCAAGATACATTGGAAATATGCCACTATATTATAGCACGTTAAACTTTGTGGTTCAGTACTACTCGTGTACAGGGCTGTCCACATATGTTCATCTACACTGTGATTAGATACCATGTAATGAGCATTTCACTTGTGAAGTAGAATAAATGCTTGACTACATGTAATGAGCATGTCACTTGTGAAGTAGAATAAATGCTTCAGTTACGAGCTTGAATATTAGCACAGCGGTGGGCCCACTGTGCCAATCACACCATTCTGCGACAATTACATATCCCTGTGCCTTGCTGCACACATTTGGGTGCAGCTCGCCCCAAGTGCATCAGAGTTCACTAGTGCACCTGTTTACACTGCACAGGACTGTTCATGGCCTAAAAGTTAATTGGTCACAACAAACACAACTAGAGCTTTTGCATAATGCCGCTGATACACACTCCTTTTTAGCTTTTTTTTTTCTTTCATAATATTCAGTCTAACCAAAGTTTCTGCACTGCCGCATCTGTCTTTGTTGTTTGAAATTTACCATGTCCCATTGATAGTCTATCTTATTTGTTAGAGAACTGGAAATAACACATCGAACAGTTATTTTTTTTGGGGTCACTTTAGCCGCCGCGGCCAAGCGGCAACAGCTATCGGCACCACACTGTAAAGGGCATCGTCATGCAAAAGATTCATATTTTGTAAAAAAAAGAAAAGGATATCATATAGTTAAGCCTAAATTGCCCTCATAGAGTGTGCATGGCTTGATGTGGTGCAGCTGCTGCTCGCGCATGTCCAAGCGCTCATTTCACATCTTGATTGCATCATCAACGTAACGCAATGGAAAGCCAGCATGCGTAAAAACAGCTGCTGGGTCAGCCATAATATCGTAAACGCCGCTAGAACAATCAATGTCGTCATCAATCGACACAAAAGGTAAAAAAAAAAAAACTCCCCGCATTGCAAATCTTCCCAACTTAATTTTTCCTTCCCTGGCCACCCATTTGTCCTTGAATCGCACACTGGCACACATTGATCGGCGTTGCCGCGGAAATTTCTTGCTGTTCACGAACTACCTAACAAGCCATGCAGTGGCTTCGGTGAGTCGCAACTGCAAAGCAAAACTGTAAATTAAGGGTAGTAGCATTAGTCCTCGGCACACGGTAAACCCTCCGAACATTCTTCCCGGACCCAGCCATAGGGTCTCTATAGGTGTTGGGGGGGGGGGGGGGTGCAGTCGTTCCACCTCCCCCCTCCCCCTCAAAATAAAAGCGGTGGCACTCCTTTCACTGACCCAGTCGCAGCCTGTCGTCTAGCTTGTATGCGAAAAGCCACTTATTCCCTAACTGTGTTTACCTACCAACCTGGTATATTAAGCATATTAAGGTGAAGAATTTGTGAACATGGGGTGTCACTTCGGAAACCAACGCTTCGACAAGCGGACTTGTCTTTTTCAAGGCCGTCTTAAGGAAGAGCATCCCCCCTTTATGCTTGGATTGATCACTTATCCCACCCCCTTCGTACCATTTTACGTTGTACCAGTTTTATTTTTAAGAAGACTTTCCTGAATAGTTCAAAAACAGGAAGCAAGTGGTCAATCTAATATCCTTGAAAGTAAAAGAAGAATGCCACTCCGTGTTCATGCCTCGGAGACTTATCGATTACGATGGAACATCATCCACAGTGAGCTGTGGTGATCATTGAATGCACTATGTACGCAAGCAATTTTTAACATTGGGTTCTCAGTTGCAATGAGTTTTCTTTGTGTTTATTGGACTGCTGGTTTTGTGGCAAGGACTTCTTTTCTTTTTGGGGTCCTAATGACTTGCTTTGTCATACACAGCGGAGTACATGCATCCTCGCCTTGTCTCTAATGCTTCACTTCAACATGCATCTTGCATAGTGCAGTGAAGCCCAAGTGAGACACTCATTTATGCTAAGACTGAGTAATGGCTGCTGTCTGGGTGTTGGCCTTGTCTCCTTCTTTACATTGCAGCCGCATTTTTAGTACGCATACTAATAAGAATATTTGCCGAAATTTTGAATATATACCGAAGTTTTGATCGAAGTGATCATAAATTCCATTTTGTCTGCTCCAAAATTTGCTCCATATCTTAATCTGACTATGCCACCACTGCTAATGAGGTGTTCACCTTCGATGTGGTCCACCCCGTATGCAATCAAAGAGGGGCCCTACAACACTTGCAAGCAGCCATCGAATAGCATCATTAAACGAGTGTATGGGGCCTCGTGAATCGACCGTCAGAAAAAAATTTTGAAATCTGTTTAGTCTGAGTGGAATTGGAGATTTCTCATATGCTGTAATTGGTTTCTCTATTCTCTCGTCCTTACAAGCACGCTGGAAGCTAAGCAAGGAGGGATGGCACAGGGGAAAATTGTGTCACGCACAAGAACTTATGGCATGACCTTGAGCATTTTTTTCTTTCTTCAAATGCATGACTTACTTTCAGTGTGATTGCGAGCACACTCGCAGGCATGAGGCAGCTTTCTGCAGGGGCCTCGGTAACTACACAGCTCGCGACATTCCAATCAGGCAATTGCCACGATTTCGGGTATAAGGTGCAGTCGTTTGGGTATGTGGCATAATTTGTAGAAAAAAGAGGGAACGATTTCTAGCCGACTTTGTGAGATATAATTGCATATTGCAGGCCACATGCTGCAATATGCAATTTCATGCAGCATTATACATGCTGCAATTGCAGGCCCGTACTTTTGGCTATTTAAGTGACACCATTTACTACAGGTTGAGATTAATGACCTTGCGTAAAACTTTCCGTAAAAAGCCCTTACCCCTTGTAACCCTTGTAGGCAGGGGCAGATCCAGCCACTAATTTTAGAGGGTCGTTCGCCTGAAGTAACACCGAAGAGGGGGCTTGGTCATGACTCCTTTGTTTTTACTAGCAGAAAAACCCCTTCGTAGCATACTGTTGATCTGTGCTCGCAGTGGTTTCACTCATTAGTCCTAATTGGTGATGGGAGGTGGACTACAAGCACTGTAGTGAGAAGTGGAGGTGCTGACTCAACAACTTTGGGGGGTCGATCGCTCTTACTGCTCACTTTCCGGATCCGCCACTGCTTCTATGAATGTACTGCTATTCATGCAGTACCAACGCCTCCTCTAGAAATACGCCTGCGCCTTGAGCCCGAAAGCTGGTTCCCGGCCCTCTCCTGTTCTCTCCTCCTCCGCTGCCCAGTGTCGGCGTCGAGCGCTCGCTGCGGCGGGTGCTTTAAACCTTGGCGCCTCCGAGATTAAAGTAATTTCTACTGCTGTCTCGAAGGCATAGCGGTCGTGTCTTTGTGATTGCGGCACTTCCGAACCGAGCGGAAGTAGTAGTGTCGGCTGCGAGTGCTCTTTGCGAAGAAAGCACAGAACTACGAGGAATCTCCCGTCCCCATAGGAAAGCGTGCGATGTCGCAGGCATCTTTCTAGAGGAGGCGTTGGCAGTACTAACAGCCACAGCCTCCTAGATTTGCCTCGCCGGCCGGATTATCGGTGGTCACTTAAAAAGCGGCTGTCGTCGGAACTGCGATGGTGGCGCCACTTAAGTAGGGTTGTCTTCAAATAACTTTTTTACGTTTTTGGAGCTTATATGCAACAAAAATAACTTCAAAAGTTTTAAAAAGGCGTAACGTAATTACAATTAGTTATAATTAGTTCTACGTAGGTGACGCCGCCATAGATGAGGGGCGTTTCGCGCTCATTCAGCAGGCAACCCTTTCAATACAAGGCATATCCTCTGAAATTATCGAAAGCCAAAGTTGCCGATCTCAAAGGCCAAGTACAAAGACGCTTAACCCTACGTAGGTAGCGCCGTCATAGCTGACGGGCGTTTCGCACTCATCCGGCAGGCAAGAAAAATATATGGGGTTATATAACAGGCTTACAGCACGTAGGCCGACAGCAGCGGTTAGATCGCTGTCGATTCACGAATGAAAACGAAAAAAAAAAAGCCCGTACATAATATTTGACGCATAGCTTTGGTGCCCGTTGGATTGGAAGGACAACATTGGAGGTGACGGTTTGGTTCAGCTACAGTGCCTTCCGAAATGTGCAGCCGTTGCGCACTCGATCGGCTTTTTGTAGTCCTTGCGCTCCCTCATATGACGGCAAGTCTTCGGATCGAGAGCCTCTCGAACAGTCGGGAAAAAAAAAAAATGCGAAGATATCAAATTCGGTCGTGAATTGTGCTACGGAAACGCGCGAGTCTTTAGAAAGGATCGGCCTGCATTCTCCCATTTTTTTTCTTTTGTTTCGTGTCGCGAGCCAAGCTGGAGTCCGATTATGGTTGCGGCAGGTGTAGCGTAACTTCCGCAATTTCTAGCCGTCTCTGCAGCCGTATAGGAAGAAAAGATGCGTCGCGCATCGGTACGTGTAAGATTAAAAAAAAAAAAAAAGCGGGCCGCTTTCTGCGCGTGCATATCGGGCAGATTTTATCTTGTGAACACACGTCGGCGCTTTTTTTCTGCGCCCATAGAGGAAAGAGAATCGCATCGTAAAAGGTTTCGCGCGCTGCATCACCGCACAGTCGAAACGGGTGATAAATATATGGCCACGCGGTCGGCCGTCGCGAATAAAAAAATAGGGGGGGTGGGGAGGATACGTGCTTTCGGTAAGGCGGCGACCGTGAGCGAGCGAAAGTTTCGGCGTCGACATCGGCATTTTGCGCTAGCACAGCTGGGCAGCTGACCGATCACGCGGAGGACGCGTTGTCGCTGACGTGGAAAAAAGCTTGCGCGGCGGGCGGCGACAGCTAGCGCCCCCGCGCCAAGTGCTCCACGTAGCAGCCGTTCGCTGCTGCTGATCTCCGGCGTCCCGTTGATGCCGTGGAATTCTCGCGCTCTCGTGTTGTTGTCGTCCGTGCCCTCGTTGCCACGTTCCTGCGGCGGCGCACGTGTCCAGGCGCCAATTTCGAAACTAGGCGTCTCGGAGGAGCGTTCATCGCGCAGCGGTTGCCGTCGTCTTGTCTGTTCCGCAGGTGGTACTACTGGCACGGGATACGGTGCTATACTTTTCTTACCTGGATTGGTTCTACTTCTGAGCGGGCCTCGTGTTTGTGCTTACGCTGCCCCAACCCACGGTTACGCAGTTCTCGCGTTTTCTGTGTATCGCCACCGCTCAGTTGTTCGGTGTGCGTGCGTGTGCGCGTGCGTGTGTGCGTGTGTGCGTGCGTGCGTGCGTGTGTGTGTGTGTGTGTGTGTGTGTGTGTGTGTGTGTGTGTGTGTGTGTGTGTGTGTGTGTGTGTGTGTGTTCCTGCATCAATATGCAACCCGCCAACAATCCTTTAGTCTATGCTGTTTTTTTTTTTTTGCGGGAAGGGGAAGAGGACGGATTCGGGGAGAGGGGTGTTGAACTGTGCCAGTTCCTATTCAAAACCTTCCTCTGCAGCAGCCCTCGAAGTTCTTACGTTTTTCGATCTCTAACACCACCACTTTTACTTACACTTTTACTTATGTATGGCCATGCTTTGCCCCCTCCCCCTCTTATACAACTATGGGGTATCGGCTGCTCTCCCCCTCTCCATGCACACGTGTATAGTTGTTATGCTTTAAGTTACAATGTCGTTTGTCATTCCGTAGGCACTGTTTAAACTGTGCATTAACTGAGAAGGCTATGTGGCATTGCAAGTGATATTGGCTTTAAATTCTTGTTCAGTTTTTTCTTATGCCTGGTGAAACCTGTCATTCACATACGGCTGAAATGAGAACAGTGCCTCTGTTATCATTTTTTTTATCTGAGCAATAACTTCTTGCACTTCTGTGTAAGTAGCTAATGATGTTTAGAGAGCACTATAGCAACTGTAGCCACTGTCTTCAAAATTTGATACATGTCTAAGTTTATTTCTTTTGTAACATTTGGGATGCTCTGCCTAGCTTGAAATTCTGTTTTTTACATTGTATGAGCTCAAATTAGGCATGTTTTGTCAGTTTACACTGACCTTTCTCTCTTGTAAAGCTGTGCACGAGTTTTACACCATAACTTCGCTCGTCAGCAAAGCTTGTGGCATTTTACTTTCATCTGAATGAGGCATCAGCAGCTGTTTTTCGAATTTGTGGATTTGCTGCAGCTTTCTTCACATGGGTAGACAGTCTAGCCCCTAAATCTTTGGCGGCTCCTATCACATTCTGTATGACTTGCAAAGGAAGGGTATATGCCATAAATGCTTAGCCTTTGCCTTTTCTGGTGTGTTTGATAGACGACATCTAGTTGTAGAGTGTCTGCCTTCTAATACAGGCTCTTCTGGGTTCGATTTGTAGTGCCACAGGGCACTTCCAGTTTACCGAAAGGACAAGGAGAGGTAGGCGCTTGGTAGGGTGGCTGCTCGTTACCGGAAATCAAAAAATATGCATACCATCATTGAAGGATTCAGTATAGAACAGTCAAAGGGCAAACGCCTGTTTTATGAATGCTTCCTTGATGGGTACACCTTTTTTGTATTCAATAAGCATGTACCAACTAGACGAGCTACAAGTTTTAGTGGCGAGTTCATTCTCACGAAAGTGGCCTTTTCTACCTCTGTTCCACCTCTTCCTCCCATTCGTGCTTTGCTGCACTTCATCATTGGTTGCAGAATTTGACATTTTTTCGAAACACTCAAACCATTATCTCAGTTGTGTGTTCTTTAGAAGAAAAAGGCACGAGATCAGGCTGCAGTGCACCATGATAGAGCATGCTTTGCTAGTTACCAAGAATACTTGGCAGGCGTGTATGTTACCTGTTCCAACTAGTAGGTGTGGCAGTTGCGTGTAGCATGCTGCGCCCCTAAGTGAACGTGATCTCACAGCTGTTTGGTTCCATCCACAATACATACAAGACATGTCTGATTTAAACATGAACATATTCGACAGAGATTTGTCTGGCTGGATTAAAATTCATACGAATAAAATAATATACAAAAGAAGCTTTCGGAGAGTTTATTTTTTTCTTATGAATATGTGACTGTGATGGTCTAGGCTGTTTCAGTGGCAAAATATTTTGTATTAGTTACTTATTTGTTTTGTTAACTACTGCCAGACATTCGTTCTCAGTACTTGGGTGATATTGCTACCACCATGCTTTCACCAATGTTGGGAAGGTTTTTGAATTCCAAAGTAGAGCTGTCCTGTGTAGCAGCTTGGTTATGGTGTACAGTATATTATTTTTACATCGCTAGAACCGAAACCTACTTGGCATGTTTCTTCTGCTATGCTTTTAAAACACTTTCTGCTCATCTCTCTTGTTTTAATCTATAATAAGCAACTGCATTCTTTAATGCAGTGCAAGATAGGAGGATTGTTGCCGATCAGTTTCTTATTTTTTATTTCTTTACTTTTATATATGCAAGGAAGAAATGCGTTAAGGGTGCAGTAAGTGTGCAGCTTATTAAAAGCCCAGAGATGTCTCAACATTGTTCTTATAGGATTCATGTAAATACCTCTTATCATAATTTACTTTCATTTGAATGGAATAGCTTTGCAAAATGCTCATACTTTCATACAGCTAAAATTTGGCTTTAGATGTCAACACATAATGGACTGCATGCTGTACATCTCATTCTGGTTAGTGCAAATAATCAACAGGCCAGGATCTTGAAAGTGTGCTAGCAATCCTGTACATCTAGATGAAAAATTACGGGAACAGGGTGTCAATAAAACCAACGTCGCGATAAGTGGACATGTTTTCGTGTCAAGACTGCAGCTGAAGTTGCGGCCTTCAAGAAGAAAAGTCTGCATATTGAAGTGTTGCCTTCAATGACGTCACACATTCACAAATTTTATGTGAAGCCTCCATTTTCCTTTAGACTGCTGTCTTTCCTGCACATTCTAGGCTTGCTGTGATGCAGTTCCATGCGTGGAACTATCTTAAGAGGAAGGTTCTGTCAGATTGGGTGGTTGCAAAATTCGCAGTGCTGTGTCATCTACATTCATTGTTGCTACGATGTCTTATAGTGTTGCGAAAAAACAGTATGTACACTCGTACCTCGATATAACGAACCTGGATATAACGAAATATTGGTTATAACACAGTAAATGAAAACTAGTTTTGCAATATCTATAGTGTTAGAAATAAACCTCTATATCAAATTTTCGGATATAACAAACTTATCATCCGAGATGCAACTTTGTTATGATGAGATTTGAGTGTATTTTTTGAGTGTGCAAGTGGGTTTTTTATGCACTATAATATGTTCATTCTCCTTGGTACCTCTGCTCTGAGGAAATGCATGACTTGTCGTGTTCCTTTGCAGACTGGGGCGGCGCCCGGTGCGGCACAGCCTGCATTCTACCCGTATCCGGCCACGGCTGCTGCTGGTCCAGCCGCACAGGCTTCCCCTTCGGCTGCGCCGCCTTTTGTGGGCCAGTTTCACTCGCCTGCCGCCATGCAGTCTCAACTCAGCCCGCACTCGCAACAGGGTCAGTTGAGCTATCCCGAATGCTTGTTGCGCTGTTTACAAAAGGCAGTTGTAATTGTGTAGTAGAAAGTACTTTGCTTTTTTTGTTTTTGTCATAAGCGGGAGATTCACTGTGGGATTTGCAACACTGTTGTCTGCACTACTAGGCCATGCGAATCCCAGTGGCCAGCCCCACAAGGACGAACGGTCGCAGAAGCAGTTCTTCAAGCTACGCAAAAAGCTAGAATCTCGTCCGCCTCCTTCCAATTCTGGTGCCCACTCGGAGCCTCCCAGATCAAGTGAGTCGTTTCTGGGGTTCATTTGAAATAAGGTGAAGCACCTTTCTTGAGGGGACTTCTCTTTGCATTTTACCGTGGCCTTACTTTCCCAATTCCGTTTGCCTTTACAAAGATATGATCAGATAATTGTATAGTCTGAGGACGTGTTTGTTCAAAAGAAATGCGCTTTGCCAGCCTTGCAAGTGCACAGTCTGCTGCTGATCACGAGGTCAGGAGTTTGACTCCCAACAGTGCAGAAGATGCAAAAAGAGACTCAAACCCTGGTTCAACTTTGAGATATGCAAACTTGTTAGAAAGCAGCTGATGCCCACAAAAAGTTCCTTAAAAACTGAACAGCAGTAAAGGAAACAAAGCTCAAAAGTTCGTCTTTTCTGACAAGCTAAACACAGACCTAAAGTGCAATCCGAAATTCTTTCGGAAATACGTCAAGAACAACAGAAAAGATGACACAGCTATCCTTAACCTCTTAACTGAGGAAAAAGCAATAACGGATGACTTGTAGAAAGCTGGAGCATTTAATGCCGACTTTCAGTCAGTGTTTTGAAAAAAGACTCAACACTCACCAACATTATCTTCCAAAAATAATGAAATGGTAATGAAATAGCAGAAATTGAAATCGACTACACTATTTTGGATAGTCGGCTGCGTACTCTGGACACCTTTAAGGCTACAGGGCCTGACGGTATATCATCTCATGTACTTAAAAAGTACCACATTATTATTGCACAATATTTATGCATAATGTACAAGTTGCCACTAGGCACCAGCGTGGTTCCAGGGAATTGGAAAATGACAAATGTGGTTCCTGTGCACAAGGCAGGAAGTTTTTAAGTACAAAATTATCGTCCCATATTTTCTGATTTCAACCTGTTGCAAATTGTTAGAACACATTATTTACAGTGCATTGTTCAAATATCTCAAATCTACTCATTTTTTTCACTCACTCCCAGCATGAATTTCGCCAGGGTCGTTCGCTAGGGTGATATTGATCAAGCACAATCAATATTTCAGCACAAAATATTGATTGTGCTTGATCGTAACAACGTTGTCGATGCATTGTTTCTCGATTTTTGCAAAGCATTTGATACTGTCTCACATAATCTGCTAGAAATTAAACTTGCTTCACTGACTATTGATGCCAAGCTGCAGACCTGGCTCCTGAATTATTTATTTAAGTGGTCGTAAACAGTGTGTTGTCTTAAATTCTAAAATGTCATTTGTAAATGTGACTTCAGGCGTGCCACAAGGTAGCGTTCGGGGTCCGCTGTTATTCTTGGTATACATAAATGATTTATGTAGCAGATAACATAAAATCTAGCATAAAATTATTCGCAGATGACTGCGTCATTTGCTGTTTCATCACTTCAGTTGCAGACACTGAATTATTACAAGATGCCTTGGACACAGTAACACACTGATGCTCCATGTGGAATACCGTATTTACTCGATTCTACCGCGCCCTCGATTGTAACGCGCACCCGATTTCCACCGCGAAAAAAAAAAAAATTAGGCATCGATTGCAACGCGCACCCATTTTTCTCGCTGGCCTGCACGATCACACCTCTCGAAAAAACGACTCCTTTCGGGAGCGTCTTCCATTTAAATATGAAGTACGAGCGAAGCTTGTGCCCATCTGACGTGTAACAGAGCATTGCCGTCACTGTAGTTTTACTGTGGACCGATGTCAGCACGCGAACTTGCTTCACCCCCTTCTTCTCGACGGTTGTGGTGCCAGGCATGTCGAAGTAAAGAGGCGTCTGATCGGCATTCCCGATTTGCGCAAGCAGGTAGCCGTTGTTGGGCCGCAAGTTTTGAACGATTCTCTGAAAAGTGTGAAGCTTTTCATCGTACTCCTCCGCAAAACTTTTCGCATATGCATGTTTCCCTTCGTAGGGAAAAGCCTTTCCTCTTCATATAGTTAGCCAGCACCTGCTCGCTTTAAACTGGCTCCGCATTAGCCCTTTTTCTATTCTAAGGCTAACTGCATAGCCCGCACTTGGAGCAGTTCTATCCTCACGGGCCGCTGTGCTGCTCGCTGCTCAAGCACATACTTGCCGAGCAGCTCTTTAATTTGCGGAAACCGACCCTGCTATGGTCCACTGAAGCCTTTGCATGAAGCTTTTCTGATGACAATCTTCTGCTTTTGTTTCCGCCGGTCCCGCACGCATGTTTCGGGAACTCCGAACGACCGCGATGCGGCCCGATTTCCGTCCGTTTCTGCACACGCGATGACTTTTCTTTTAAAAGCGGCATTGTGGTGCACTCGAGTTTTTGGAGTCGGCCCTTCCACGCCGTCGATGCTAATGCACTACTAGATGATGAACTCCTCAGCACACGTACGAAGTGCCGCACATGTGAAACACATAGGCAGAAATGGCCGACGCGCCATGCCGACGCACGTGGGGGGCGGCCATTTTGGATTTGCCAATGGCAATAGATTGACCGTAATTTTTTTTGTTCGTACTCGATTCTAACGCGCATGCAATTTATGAACTGGCTTAACCGGAAAAAAGGTGTGCGTTAGATTCGAGTAATTACGGTATGTGCTTAAGTATCTCAAAGTGCACCCACATCAGGTTTGCAAAAAACATTTCAGAAATCCAGCACACATGCAGTATTGATGAAAAGGCAGTTAAAAAGTACATGAGTGTAAATATTTTAGGAATTTATTTAAAAGAATCATTTCATTGGAACAGACATATAGACCAAATGATCTTAAAGGCCAGTAGAATGTTGTTTTTTATTCGCCAGAACTTTCAATGTGTAACAAAAGAGGTGAAGGAAACTTTCTACTTCCTGTATGTAAGGTCTATATTTGAATATGCTTGTGTTATCTGGGACCCGGCTCAAAAGTATCTTGCAGAAACTATAGAAAAAAATTCAAAAACCAGGCAACCTGTTTCGTCAGCAAAAATTACGACCCATTTGCTAGTGTATCAGAAATAAAGGCCACATTAGGCTGGAAACTCTACAATCTAGAAGACGGAAACTTTGACTAAAACTTCTGTATAATAACAGGAATTGATAAGTCTAGAATACCTACTAGCATTAACATATCCTTCCACAAGATGCCAACACACACACGATATACAAGAATATGCATTCAAAACCACTCTCGCCAGCTCCTTCTTTTTAAAAACAACTGGAGACTGAAATGAACTTCCCGAAGATATCGTAAACTTGAGTGGCAACAGCACCTTTTTGTCATTGTTGTGACATTTTGACATGCCTATTCACTTTTAGTACCTGTTTATCACTTGTCATATTGTAATAAAATATTTTTGATTGCGTGCTGTAATTATTATGTTTTATTTTCCGGAATGTTTAAGGTGTACTATCGCAGAAATGTTAGCAACCATATTGGACTTTGTATGTATACCCCCCTGCAGTAATGCCACTACGACATTGTGTAAAAAAAAAAAATAAATCTGATCGAAGCAGAGCCAGAAGCCAAGATTTTGATACATGTTGAAAGAGCAATTATAAAACCCTGCTGCATCCCCCATAACTACTGCATCACTTTCGAATGTTGGAACTTCATGAATTGGTCAACAGATCAGTCAATCATATACAGTTGAACCCCTTTTAAAAGGCATGCTCCAGGGAGCAATTCTTCTCTTTTATATGAGATGTCTTATCAGCAGGGCAACCCGTATTTCAACCCGTATTATCAACCCGTATTTTACTGTGGGCACACTGGTGTCTCTTATACCCATCTGTATCTTATATCAGTGCCTCTTATGAATTGGTTTGACTGTAAAACAATTAATTGATAAAGCAAGGAAGTAATTATTTTTCTTGTTAATAAATAAAAAGCCAACATAAGCAGCCTTGAAAGCCTAAGCCGTGCTCAGAACAGGTTGGTATGGAAGAGGTTATGGAATAGGTTGTCATGCGTCTCAGTTTGGCTTCTTCGGAATGCATATTATAAACAGGTTAAATACTCAGTCTCCACATGGTTTGTAAATTGAGTGCCTGTTTTATACTCTCTTTACCAGGCCACAGTTCACCGGGCCCATCAGGTTGTGGTAGACCTGGCCACGGAGCAGAACAACAGGGTTAGCCAATTTTATTTTAATGTGAACAGCTGGCGAGACAAGCATGCATCTGGTGGGGGGGCTACATGCGACTCTTTGCAACAGTAGCCAGTTATTTGACGTTCGGCCACACTAACTAGTAGCCATGTGATTATGTTATCGCAGTATAGATCGCATTAACCAGGTGACAGTCGTAATTAAACATACTACTACTATGTGGACATCATCAGTGTTGGAGCAAGGGCCATTGCAATGTAAAACTTGGGTTTGTTTGAAAGCATCAGGAGAGTGCAATAAAGAAGTCAGTCCAGAACATTCACTTTTGTAGCACTTCAATTTCTGATAGTTCCAGCAAGTTTAAAAAGCCAGTCATACAGAAAAAATTGTAATTTTCGATATGTGAAAACTATTCCTTGTGGAGGAAATATACTATATCTGGATTGTTCAAGGGAAAATGTGTTGGTAATGCAGATTTGATGAAATGGGGTGCATAAAATAAAAGTGTTTTCAAAACTGACTGTCTGCAAATCGTATTGGGATGTGTAAAATTCTTGATGTGCAAGGCAGAACATTTCAAGTGGCTGACTTGGGATCTTTAATCCTTGACTTGCATTGACATCTAAATCGTGCTTCAGATAGCTAAAGAAGTTAATGCCTTTTTCTGCATATGTGAAATCTAAATAATGCATGCAGTCAGTGCACAATGAGACATTGGCCAGCATGAAGTTGTTCAACAAACCGAACCTTCCTCAGTACGTTCATTGTCATTCTCGTGCTGCTGTGCATTTCTGGTGCTTTGATGACTACTGCTCTAATGATGAAAAGGCTCTAACTTTTAAATTTTTGTGGTGTTAACAAAGTGGCCTTGCCACGGTGTGCAGAGGCCCTGGTGCAGCTGTCCTCTCTGCGGGTGCCGACGGTGTCACAGCTTGGTGCGCGGCAGGCGTTGGCATCCTGGAGTGCCCCTGAGGCGTCCGGGGGAGCAACGCTTGACGGTGTGGCCTATGAGCTCCTACTTTCTGAAAAGGGCTTGGACAGGCCTGCAAAGCTGTTCAAATGGTCAGCACCTCTTTTTCTCTTGCAATCTAATGTGGCCTAAGTCAGTTTAGACTGCCTTGAATTCACTTATTTAGAGCCATTCGTTAGTTTCACTTGGCACCACTATTGACTTTTACAGGCTGTGCATCTTTTGGGGTGTCTTGCAAAAACATATTTAAATTACACTTAAAATGTTAGTACTTGAGCTTAAAGAATGTGAAATTATTTTGTCACTATTGAATTACCACACATTAGATTCATAAACTGAATTAAAAAACACTTGCAAGGAGCACAATACAGATGATGCTATTACATAAGCATGCTGAACACAAACTTGGCAGGTGAACCACTCCTTTGTCTTTAGGCAGTCAGAAAAGCAGTTTATCAATCTTGAACGGATACAGCCGCCAGAGTTTTTTCAACTGTTTACGTTGCTTGGTTACTGATTGGCAGTGTTTTCTGACCATGCTGCAGAAGTACTGCAAGGCTGCTTTAAGCTTCCGCTTTACCAAAATTCTGTACTTAAATTTCAGCGTTGGGCTAGAAGAGGTCAAGATCGTAAACAGCATGAACAAAATTGATCATTTCTTTCGTGACTGGTCATTTCCTTCTGTGGTACCTGAGGGGAGAACCAAGAACAAACAGGATTTGTTTGTTGGCAGAAAGTGCTGCTGCGGGTTTCTTGTTGATCTGTGTTTGGAATCTTCCATGGCAACAGAAGCAGGGTGAATGCATTGCTTACATGTTTTTCACATTCTTTTTTCAGTGGCAAATCGTTGGAACAAAAGCTTGAAGATCTGAAGCCTGGGACGGAGTATTTGTTGTGGTGAGTTGTGTACTTTGCACACACCGGTAGTGGTTACACATTTGGTCCATCAACGTTGGCTGACTTGGCTAACTGGAGTGCTTGACTAAAATGAACCTTCATTTGAAAGCCAATAATTTATTCTTGCTGCATGTGCAGCACTGACATTAGCATTGCACTTACAGATTATTCAATTAAGCAGCTACTAGGTATGCTCTTGTGAGGCTTTACCTGCTACTGCTGTACAGGTAAACCTGCTTATAGCAAACCTCCGCATAACGAATTCCTCGATTTTATGAAATTTTTCTATTCCTGGTCGTTGCGCCATAGAAGCACATGTATTTGTGACCTCTATGTAACAAAGTAGCAGAGGAAGACAACTTTACTATAACGAATTTTTCCCACAGGCAATCTAGGGATTTTGCCCCAGGCTTCGGTACGAACATGCATCTTTTGCGCGTGCCCCGCCCCCGACATAGTGCGAAGTGGCTGCCAGCACGCACGGAGCAGCACGCGAGAGCGAGCGCTCATGATTGCGCATGGTTGAGCGTGAGGCGGGCAGGCAGGCCTGCATCCCACAAGCCGGCTTGCTGTTGTTCTCGCCGCTGCGTGCGCATGGGTGTGCCCCTTCTCCCTCCAAACCAAAACAAAAAAAAGAAAACTACTTTTGCATTGGCAGTGCCAACCGTTTAGTTAACGTCACAAATGTGGGGCCGCACTTCATATGAAGGGTGCTTTACCGAATAGTTTTTCGTGGTATCTGTGCGTTTGCTCTTTGTTTTCGATGCCATGGGCGCGTGCATGGTTTCACTGTGCGCACATGGTGGGGCCCGTGGCAACGTTCAGCTTTTCTCTCTTTTTTTTTTGCTTTTTTTTAGTACGCACAACCCGTGTTGTCACCAATGAGGGGATGTCAGAATAGGCACTGATGGAAGCTCTTCGAGACTATGGTGATGACGGATCTTTGGAGGTCAACTCGTCTTGCGCATCCGTTTTGTGCAGCACCGCAAGTTCGCAGGCTCATAGCTTTCGCGATTAGCCGATTAGTTCTGGCAACAAAATGACAGGTTGAATGCAATGCAATGAATGCGATAGCAACAGATTCTAATGCTATACGAAGTAAGGCTGGCAGCCAACCCTTTGGATATGATGTCGCGGAACTCCTACAAGATGCTGGTGTGAAAAAATACGGTCACTTCAGGGAGACATGCTCTTTTTACACACTCCCTTCGCGCTGAAAGCACACTGATACTTGCCGAAATAGCAAGTGCGCCAGACACCGTGACCGCCCTTCTAATCGAAGTACATTGCTGCTGCTCGAGCGTTCTCCCCACCCTCCGTGTTTTTTCTTGCTCGTTCAAGACGGGTGTTTTCTTTTCTGTTTGAGCATTTGACGGCAGTTCTAACATGCCAGGGATTTATCTTATGCGCTTTGCAGGTGACAGGGATGGGCCGAATTTTTTAATCTGAGCTTCAGCAGCCCTTGCACGCTTGTAATTGCTCGAGGAAGTTAAGATTCGTGGTGGCATGTTATCAATTTAGACTTGTTGCGAAACATGGCGGTGACAGCAAACCCCCACTTTATCGAGAGTGTTCATACAATTACTAATGCAGTTTTTTACTGATGAATAAGTGTTTTGGGTCCCGCTTTTGTTCGATTTGTGCATTAATTTTTTTTTAATTTTCTACCGATCCTCCATATAAAGAGATCCTTTATGTAAGGAATTTTTCCAGCACTTTGTCAATTTCATTATATCCAGCTTTAACTGTACCCGTATAACAGTAAAATGACAAAGTTGACCTAGTTAGTTGAGATTCGTCGTAGATAGGCATACACAAGGGAAGTACCCAACACAGGTGCTTCTATCAACGGAACGTAGGCCCCGCAAAGGCACCTGCACAAGTAGGCGTTTGGTGTGTAGCGACACCACGGATCCGAGCTAACGGGGGAGTTTCGGCTCCCTCCCACGCCTAGCCGTGCGTGGCTTTGCGTCCGGGGAAAAGGGGATCCTGGGGGTTGAGCCAATGCTGGGTGATTGGACCTTTAAGGCCCCCCGGCAGAGGATAGGCATACACAAGGGAAGTACCCAACACAGGTGCTTCTATCAACGGAACGTAGGCCCCGCAGGGGCACCTGCACAAGTAGGCGTTTGGTGTGTAGCGACACCACGGATCCGAGCTAACGGGGGAGTTTCGGCTCCCTCCCACGCCTAGCCGTGCGTGGCTTTGCGTCCGGGGAAAAGGGGATCCTGGGGGTTGAGCCAATGCTGGGTGATTGGACCTTTAAGGCCCCCCGGCAGAGGCAACACACCCCTTTGGCCCCGGCTTCACGTAGACGGCACCCCTGGGCTGACCCACCCAGGGGAAATCGACAGTCGCCTTTTCCTATCTCTCTCTTCCTACATCTTAGTCTTTTCTCGTCTTTAAATCTATCCTGTCTTCTTCTCTCTTCCACTTCCGATTTTCCTGGCGGCAAGGGTGTGTAATTACTCAACCTTGAGTAGTTATATTTGGTTATAGTGGCAATGTACGGCTGGCGTCTGCAGCCTTATGCTATTAAGTGCTTCAGCGTCTCCTGGTTGGACTCCATGGTGGGTGGTCACCATTGCTGCCGAAAAAAAAGTACACTACTATGGGAACACATGCATTTCCCCATCTCCTAGATCGTCTTCCGCTTAAGAGGGGACGCACCGATGAAATATCAATTTTCAGCCAACCCAGACAATGCTTTCCAAAATTTCATGTAGTGCACAGCGAAAAGCCAGCAAAACAAGCCAGAGCCATATCTCCATTTCTTGTTGCTAAATCTCTGACTGAGCTCTTTGGCCCAGGATACAAGGTTACAAAGATGGCTAGCGGAGACCTTCTCCTTGAGCTGCCTGAAAAACACCACTATGATAAACTTGGCAGTCTCGTAGCATTTGGTAATATCCCAGTATCTGTTTCACCTCATAGATCAATGAACACCTCACGCGGAGTTGTTTCAGAAGCAGACCTTTTTGAAATGTCTGAACAGGAACTGCTTGAAGGGTGGAAAGAGCAAAATGTCACGGATGTGAAACGAATCGTCATCAGACGCGACAACAAAGAAATACCTACCAAACATTTAATACTCACTTTTGCATCTAGCACACTGCCTTCATCTATAGACACAGGCTACATCAAACTCTCTGTCCGTCCCTACATTCCCTATCCAAGACGGTGTTATACATGTCAACGATTTGGTCATGGCTCGCAGAACTGCCGGGGTCAGGAAACTTGTGCAAGATGTGGTAGCCACGGCCACACATCTGATAACTGTGTTACTACGCCTCACTGCGTGAATTGTGACGGGGAACACGCCGCGTATTCGCGTTCATGTCCTAACTGAAAGAAAGAAAAAGAAATAATCACTCTTAAAGTCAAAGAAAACGTCACATTCAAAGAAGCAAGACGAAGGGTTTCGCCATTCTACGGCGCAACATATGCTGATGCGGCGCGTCGGGGGGCAACGCCGCACCAGCCCTCGCAACCCCTTCGGCAAGCGCAGAGCGAGCCGTCGGCTGTGGCGCCTGCCCCCAAGGTGGCAGTAGTTCAGTCTACTCCGCCTTCAAGCAAATTGAGGCTGGAGACTCCAGGGTCCTCTGGTCTCAAGGCCTCACCTCACCAGGCGAGGCCTAACATCCGAACCACCAGCTCGCATGTGCGGGCATCCAGTGCCTCTGAGGAGGCAATGGATACAACGGTACCCTTGGTACCGAAAGAGCAGCGCGCCTCCTTGGAGTGCGCCAAGAAAAATAAAAAACCAATAACGGGGCCGGACGACCGTCCTGCCACCTAAAATAACAAGCTCACTCTAACACAGGGCACTCTCTGTACACACAGCAGCATCTCTTCTTTTAATATGCAGACAGAAATATTACAGTGGAACATCCGAGGCCTTCTTCGAAACCTTGATGACTTACAAGAACTCCTCCATGAATACAATCCAAGAGTGCTGTGTGTACAAGAGACACACTTGAAACAAACAAACACAAACTTTTTACGTAAGTCCGTAATCTTCCGAAAGGATAGAGATGATGCCATGCCACCATCCGGTGGTGTAGCGGTTATAGTTAGTCAAGTGATAGCATGCACACAATTACCCCTTAAAACTTTTTTCGAGGCAGTGGCTGTCCGAGCAGTTATTCTTAACAAACTTGTCACTGTCTGCTCTTTGTACATACCTCCGCACCACCGTCTTGAAAAACTTCAATTCCAGTCTTTAATAGACGAACTACCTGAACCTTATCTGGTCCTTATCCGCACATAATGGTCTGTGGGGTGACTCTCGCTGTGATGCACGAGGTCGTCTCATTGAACAATTCCTCATTTCATCAGGTGCTTGTCTGTTGAATAGGAAAGAGGCAACATACTATAACCTTGCCAACAAAACTTACTCTTCCATAGACCTGAGTATCGCATCTCCTTCACTTGTACCATTGCTTCAGTGGAAAGTCATAAAAAATCCATACGGAAGTGACCATTTTCCTTTAGTTTTGAGTACACCAATAATATATGAATGTCCTCCACATGTTCCCAAATGGCTGGTAAACAAAGCCGACTGGGAACAATTTCAAAAGCTTACTCACTTAAATTGGACTGACATATGCGGATTAGGCATAGATGAAGCTGTGCAGTACTTCACGGCCTTTCTTACTGACGCAGCAGCCAAGTGCATTCCACAAACTTCTGGACTGCCCGGCAAACGACATGTCCCGTGGTGGAACACTGAGTTACGGAATGCGCGAAAGGAACAGAACAGGGCATGGAGGTTGCTGCGGAACTCGCCGACGGCGGAAAACCTTGAGAGCTTTTAAGAAAATAAAATCTCGAGGCAGGAGAACGCGCAGGCCAGAAGAGAAAGTTGGCACAAGTTTTTATCAGGGATAAATTCATATACACAAGAGGCCAAAGTCTGGAACATGGTTCGTAGGATAGCAGGAAGAAAAGTACATTCACTCCCACTCGTAAACACTCGGGGTGATACCTTGGAAGATCAGGCAAACTTCCTCGGTGCACACTTTGAACGGGTATCCAGCTTGTCCCACTATACTGACACTTTCCAAAAATACAGAACTAAAATAGAAAAGCAGAAACTCGAACACAAAACCACTAGATACGAGGCATATAACCAAGCTTTCAGTCTAGCTGAGCTCCGAACATCTCTAAACTCCTGCAGTACTTCTGCCCCAGGTTCTGACCGTGTGGTGTATGAAATGTTAAAAAACCTACCAGCAGAAACACGAAAAACCCTACTCTGTTTGTACAATGCTATCTGGTTTTCTGGCACTATCTCCATCTCCTGGAAAGAGGCTATTATTCCCATTTTGAAAGAGGGCAAGGACCCTTCTTTAGCTTCAAGTTATAGGCCTATTGCACTTACAAGCTGCTTGTGCAAAGTCTTCTAAAAAATGATAAACTGCCGACTTGTACATATCCTTGAAACAAACAATTTGCTCGACCCATTTCAGTGCGGGTTTCGGGAAAGTAGATCCACCACAGACCACCTTGTTCGTATCGAGGCACAGATCAGAGACGCCTTCGTCCATAAACAATACTTTCTCTCTGTGTTCCTCGATATCGAAAAGGCTTATGATATACAACATGGCGTTTTGGAATTCTAAGAGACCTGTCTCGCCTTGGTGTGCGCGGAAGAATGTTTCACATAATCGAAAGTTACCTGTCAAACCGGACATTCCGTGTCCGTGTGGACAGTGCTCTCTCCCAAACATTTGTCCAGGAAACAGGTGTGCCACAAGGTGGTGTACTTAGTTGCACACTTTTTATTATCAAAATGAATTCCTTGCACTTGTCCATCCCCAGCAATATGTTCTATTGTACATATGTCGACGACGTTCAGCTTGGCTTCAAGTCATGCAACTTGGCAATGTGTGAGCGGCAGGTCCAGCTGGGTTTAAACAAGGTCTCCAAATGAGCAGATGAAAACGGATTTCGACTTAACCCACAAAAAAGCACGTGTGTCTTGTTCTCTCGAAAGAGAGGCATGCACTCAGAACCCGACATTGAACTGAACGGTCAACGTCTGTCTGTTAATACAGAGCATAAATTCTTAGGATTAATCTTGGACAACAAGTTGACCTTCGTACCGCACATCAAGTATTTAAAAACAAAATGTTTAAAAGCCATTAATGTTATAAAAGTATTGTCACGTACTACTTGGGGTAGTGATAGGCAATGCCTCGTGAATCTGTATCGAAGCCTCATTCGCACCCGCTTAGATTATGGGGCCGTTGTTTATCAGTCTGCAACTCAAAGTGCTTTGAAGATGCTGGACCCCGTGCACCATTTGAGCATCCGCCTTTCTACGGGTGCTTTTCGCACCAGCCCCGTAGAAAGCCTTTACGTTGAGTCAAATGAGTGGTCGCTTCATCTGCAGAGAACTTACATGTCCTTTGTTTATTTCCTTAAGGTGAAAGCAGACAAGAAGCACCCCTCATACTCTACTATTAATAATTTGTCGAGCTCAATTCTGTTTCAAAACAGGCCTTCGATGAGGCAGCCCTTCTCAGTTCGCCTGAAGGGTCTAGCTGAGGAAACTGGAGTCTCACTTGAACACAGTTTAATGGCTCCTGTAGCATACCCGCCACCGTGGCAATGGCAGACTATAGACTGTGATGTGTCTTTTCTAGAAGTTACAAAGCATGCGCCTATTACCCATATTCGAACATACTTCCTCGAACTTCAACACAAATACACACGTCCCGAGTTTTTTACAGACGCCTCCAAGTCTAATTCCTCGTGTCCTACGCTGCTGTCGGCCCATCCTTTTCGGATGCTGGCCCTCTACATCCAGGCACAAGTATCTTCACAGCGGAAGCCTATGCGATACTTGTGGCGGCTAAACACATCAAACAATTACAAATACAAAAAGCAGTAATTTATACAGACTCCCTTAGTGTGGTAACGGCTCTGCACAGTCTTAAAAAACAAAAAAACCCAGTCCTTGTCTCACTTTACTCCATTTTGTGCACACTCTACACACTCAAACATGTTGTAGTGTGCTGGGTGCCAGGGCACCGTGAGATTCAAGGCAACGTGAGGGCGGATCAGCTCGCTGCATCCGTTCACAAAAGCACTGCCACTACACCCATATCAATCCCGGCCCTTGATCTTAAGCCGTCTCTCAAACGAAACCTCAGGGTATACTGGCAGAGCAAGTGGGATACACACACACAAAACAAACTACACGTTATTAAACCATACCTTGGTCATTGGCTGCCCGTATCGAAATCGCGTCATACAGAGGTAATACTAACGAGACTTAGGATAGGACACACATACACGACACACACATATCTTTTGTCCGGTGGCAATCCACCATTGTGCGACAGATGTGGTGAAGCATTAGCAGTCCTTCACACGTTAATCCAGTGCAAACACTTAGAAAAACAACATTTTCCATTACCCTACCGACAACATATACCTTTACACCCTGCAATGTTCGTCGGTAGGGAACCGCTTTTTAGTCATAAATTCTTGTTAGCGTTTTTAAAAGCACTTCATAGTTTTCATATCATATACTCGGGCATTCCGTAGCACAACCTCTCCAGAGAGGTTTTTGCTGCGGTGGTTACCCAAGAAAGCACTTGCCTCACGGCCCGTGGTTGCCAGGGTACGAACGAGTGAGGCACTTGTGCTAATTCCAGACATGACCACCATCGTTTTTCTTTATCACCTACTTTTGTCACCTATTCACACCACACACACCTTTCACGGCATGGTCATGATTTTATTACTTGTATGTTTTTACCCGCCTTGTTGCGAGGAATTTTATGGCCCTTATACAGCCGCTAATCACAATCATTGTCCACATTCTTTGTCCCATGAACTGGCGCTCTTTGGCCATCAAATGGCCCTTGCGCCAAAAAACACCATATATCATCATCAACGGAACGTAGGCATCTTGGGATAAAAATAAGATTAAGCTCAAAGCCTAATGGCACATGCATGGGCCATTATCTGTGTCCGTGTCTACTTGTGTCCATGTATATTTTGTCCATGTCTACATGCCAAACTTTTTAAGGGGGCAGACTGCTCTTAGACATTTTTTGTTTATTTCTTCAGTGATCTTGATCAAACTGCACAGAATTATGCAGTTTTTTCTGGTGATTTCAAATGTTTAATTAGTTTTCCTGTAACTCATCTTATTCCTGAGATAACTTAAGTTCACCCCCTATTGTTTAAGGCTGCCATAGAATAAAAAGTGCTTAATTAAAAGCGATATATAAAATATCCTAGCATAGACTAATGACTATAGATTGAAATAATGCAAGAGTTTTTTGTTTTTAATTAAGCCTTTCTTATTATTTTACAGCAAAATTAACTATCCATTTTCAAAAGCAGTTGGAATTGTGTTAAAAGTTTGATGAGTAATTAATTAAAAAGGCTTGTTCTCTAAATTCTGCTCCCATACCTGCACCCTATGCACATACAGATTTCCATTACAAAAAGAATTATTGTTGTACCTGCCCTAGCTGCAGAGATATTGAGGCCTCAAAATTGAACAGTTGTAAATTTACTGTTTTGAGAAAAATGGAAAAAACTGAAAACGCACAGCTCCTTCAAAAAGCAACAGTCATGGTGTGCATGTTTTGCAATCTTCATAAAAGTGCTCATAAATTCGTAGCAGAGCTTCTAACGCAGGTGCCGGCAAATTATAAAGAGGCCTCGAAGTTGGTTCCCCATTTTTTTGCAGGTTCTGCATGTTCACAGCACTGAGAATTTTGACAGTTAGAATGACATTACAAAAAAAATTACCACTTCCTGGTGTGTAAAAATTTGCAGAGAGATAGCAAAATACTTGCAGATACCAAATATGTCAATTTTAAAAATGATTTTTGTCACTTTTTGGTCCCAAAGAGCAGTCTGCCCCCTTAAGTAGGTGACCTTAGCCCAAATTTGGCATCCAATCAGTCAGTCTCTTCTGGCTGTCACCTGGTTTTCTCTGGTTCTACAAGAGCTAGCCCAAGCATCTATGACCACAAGTATTTGTTTAATCATTAATAATGGACGTTGGTCATCGGGCTGGAGATGAATGACTGAGCGGCAACGTAGATGCATCCATAGCAGTCAAACACCAATAGACATTGTGCAAGCTCTTCTATATCAATGTACAGCATACATTAAACTACTTCTGTAAGGACACATCTTACTTTCAGATTCCTATGACGGAGGGATCAACCATGTTTTTACATAAAATGGACTGCATAAGGCAATGATACATTTAGCAGCATTAATTCACCAATTTGACCAGTTGAAGCTAGCAGCATTCTAGAAATCATTGTTTCAGTTTAATTTTTCTTTTCTTTTGTCAGCATTCAAGCCCACTTGGATGACATTCGAGGGAGTCCTTCGCCTAGTGAGTACCTTATAAGCAGAATAACCTTTCTATCACGTCTACTTTAATAACACACATACATGTGCTACATTGAGTGTGTTATGTGATGCAATTTGTTATAGTCGTGCAGCTTTGAAAGTCATGCTAGTTATATGGAGGGTGCCTTCTTTCACTCCTGATGATATAGTTCAGCCTTAAATATAACAAACTTCAATATAACAAAATTTCCAATAGTATAACAGATTAGTAAATATTGATGACCTTACATATTTTGCAATACTGTTGAAAAGCTCACTTAAAGAAAAGGTGTCTTGTGCCAATGCACAACAGATACTAAAACTTGAGAAGCATAGGTGTTTCGGTTATGAATCTGGGACACAATGTCGCAAAAGAAAACATGGCTGCCATAAAAAGAGCTGCTGTTAATCATGTTGTCTCCTTGCTTTCAGATGATTTTAAACTGCAGCACTTATTTTGCAGCTTGCAACCATATTTGATATTGTGGGCTTGATTTGATGAGACTTTTCGTATAAAAATACTAAATCCTTTGCCTACTGTACAACTGGAATCGCACTTGTTTAGAGCACCAAGACGACTGCTTCAGCTGCAGTGGCCGCCAGAAGTGTGCTAAGACCGACATTTTAATTATACAAGAGGATGTAAAGCATGAACTGGAGCATTTAGCTAATGAGAGGTAGCTGCTGCAGACACCAGCAGTGTCCACAGCCACACCCCCTCTACTCTCAAGTGTGATTCAATTAGTATGTTGAAAGGTTTAATTTCAATTTATTGCAGTTTCAATAACAATGGAAGCAAATTTTCGTTTTTACCAACTTCGTTACATTGAAGTTTAATGGTACGTCTGCAAAGGCCATGAAGGGAAAATGGACACAGTTTTTCGCTTTAGAGATGTCTCACACGAATTGTTCTGTGTTGCAGGTGTTGAGTTCAAGACAAGCTGCTGTGAACCAGACACACCTCAGCCACCCAAACTTGTGTCTCGAACCAAAAACACAATAGTGGTGAAATGGAATGTAAGTTGCTATTCGGTTCTTTTTTAATCGTGCGTGTAGGAGCAATTGCAGCTTGTGCCTTGTTGGCTTGCCTAATGTTCTTTTTCGCCAGCAGTGATTTAATGGAGACACGGCTCTGTAGGTGTAAAGACCTTAGTTTGAGAGTGACCATCTCTTTGCACTCCCATTAAGTGAACTTGATCGCTGCTAGGGTTTCACTTGCCATGTGGGATTTTGTATGTATGTATTTTGCCATGTAGGATTTTGTATGGTGGTTTTGTCTGGGTAATATTCAAGTCTCCTCCGCTTTTCTTTAGCGATCACAAACCTTTATCACAGTTCCATAAATATTGTTCGTTCTTGCCGCGTCATGAGTGGACCATAACTTGTTCCTTTGATGGACCTGCAGGCTCCCTCCGACAATGGATCAAAGATCACCTGCTACATACTCGAGTACGACCAGGTAGGCATTGATAAGTCCAGTACTTCTTATGCTTGCATGCTGTATGTAGTTGGCTATGCCTGCCTGAACCTTCATTAGCTTAATTAATACTCTACTCTAGGAAGGCACCAGTGTCGATTCTGCCTCCTATGGGGGCAACAATTCTGCTTCCCTTTTGTTTATTTTTTATCTGATGTTTTGTGTAATAATAAACAGCTCTCTTTTTTTGTGTGTGTGTGTGGGGGGGGGGGGGGGGTAATCAAATCACTAAGGTTTTCGAGCTTAGTGTTATGAGCACAGAATAAATTACACTTGTTTTAGCACGCAGTTAGAATTCTGAAATACCCTATAAAGAAGGAATGCTGCACATCTTTGCTAAAATACGTGATGCGAGAGCAGCATTGAGACAAGGCAAAGCAAATCAATATCACGTGCAAATATCTCCCCTCTAAGCAATCGCTTCCACCGATTGAATTTTTCAGGTTAACTAGTTCGCTTAAAACATCTTTTCCAGTGTATAATCTATAGCAGTAATGTGGTGGGGGTCACTACTCTGCACAGGTCATTATTCTTCTCATGAAACCATGGCTGATGTGAAGGCTGCTTAGCTCGCTATGTTAAATAAGATTCAGTTCATAACACCCTTTGAGACAAAAATGTATAGCGTGGACTATGCCTTTTTTTTTTCTCTTCTCTGTACAAGTGGTCACATTATAGTGAGGCATGTCTCTCCTGCAGCGTGCCTTTCAATTGTACGTGCAGGGTTGCCTATTATATACTTTTACAAACTGCTGATAACCCGCTCTGTCACATTTGCAGGGTAATGACGGCCAATTCGTGCCCGTGTTCACGGGGCTGCAGAAACAGTTTAAAGTGTCCAAGCTGGCTGCCTCAACTGTCTACAGTTTCCGTTTGGCTGCAACAAATTCAGTGGGCACCAGGCAAGTGTCATCGCTTAAAGCTTGTTTTTCAGGGATTGTAAACCTGCTTGTGGCATAAGAAAAAAGGCTGGGGGCGGCGAAGACAGAGAAAATTATGAAGCTCTTTCATCTGTTTAGCCCCATTAATCATAAATGTTTCTGCCATTGAAACTCTGCCTTATGCTTTCAGGAATTTCAGCATCTTTATAGAGCAACGTCACACCTAAGCAGTTAAATTAATTTCAGTTTCATCGCAATTACTGCACTACAAATATTGATTGATGTCCCTCTGTGTTTCTCTTGGCCTAATTATCTTTTGAATTCATTTGGTTGCATCTGACCAAAGCACATTATATATGCTTGTCAAGCACTTCAGTAACAGCTCCTGTGATATGTGAGCTAAAGCTTCTTATCTAGATATTCCATCATCCACTTCAAGACACTGAACGTGAGGTGTTCATCAATCAAGCAGTTCCTCATAGTTGCAGTTGTGGCTTTTGCAACCTACATGCAGTATTCCATTAAACTGAAAGGCTTTACAACAATAGAATAATTCAAATTTGTTGTGTAACCTGTGACCTGTCCGATTGCATGGCCGACTGTAGATATCGGATAATCCAGTCATGTACTCTGTTTTGTGGCTCTTCCGTACACAGTGGACCGTGTAGGCATATTTTCGTTTATGTAATGACTAGGCTTGTGCAAATACTGGAATGCTTCGATTATTCGAACAAATATTACAGTATTTGAATTCACTTTGGTAGGAATTCAAATTATTGGAAATTTCGAAGTGCTTGAAATGGGCGAATAGGTGTATATTAGGTCGCACGTAACTTTCCTGTAATCGTTTCAGTGCGGTGTGCTAAGACATCAACTTACCTATTCAGGGCAAATCCGCACTGCTGCAAAGTCCCACTCCAAGGTTAAATGAACATATTACTCTTTTTTTTTTAAAGTTTAAAAGCTTGTTATACCAGCTCATGTGCTCCAAATATAGTAACTTTTAAAACTTGACATATTTTACAGGTCAAGAGTTGCATTCAGTCAAAAGTCAAATCCCCCTACTATTCAAAGTTTACTTTTTTATTTTTTCAAAATAAGTGGATTGGCACAGGCCTTGCTTAAATTTTCAAGAAATATTGTGCAGATTAGTTAGGCCATGAAAATGTGCCGTTTTTTTAATAATATATATATACTACAGTGGACTCCTCTCAAACGAAACTCGTAGGGGCAAGAAAATTGGTTCCATTTATGAGAAGTTTTATTTAAGCAAAGCCTACAAAATGAATGAAATATGACTTTATTTCAAAAGCACCAACTGTGGCTGACTGAACAAAAACATTTTAAAGTATACTCTACTACTATAGTATTAAAAAGAAAAATGTTTTTAATATTGGTGACTCGGGAAAAAAAGAAGGCGATAACAATTCGCTTGACCTTGTTCAAGCGTTTTCTCACACTGTAGGAGCGCATTGCTGAAAGGTTGGGCAGGAACTCTGTGCCACCATCATGTTCAAAGTAGCGCTGCAACAAGATGACAGCATCTCTTGCTGCACTGTCAACTATTGAAATGGGCTTTGGATCACACACCATCTCATTACCCCTTGAGCATGGGTCCTCATCTTGAACTTCAGCTATACGTTCCTCAAGGCTGTCCTCAAGTTCATGATGAGACATCGATTGCTGCTTTGCGTGCACGGACATATGCAATCACTGGATTGGCTTGGCTAGGCTAGCTTTCACATTTGTTTCACGGTTGCTAGACTGCCGTGGCCACTTCTGCCATTCATGGATTTTGCCCGTTTTAGTTTCATTTAATTGATGTAAGCAAAAGAAATGTTCCGATTGCCCGAAACTTTTTATCATTAAATATATAGGAGACCAACCAAATGTGCCTTGATAGTTTCGTTTGTGGCTTTTCCATTTAACAGTTTCGTTTGATGGGAGTCCACTGTATTTGAATTCAATTCTAAATTATTTGGTCAAAATCACTATTTGCTTTGAATTTGCTTCAAACCTAGAATTCTCTATTCGCACTAGCCTGACAGTGATGAGGTTTTTCTCTCTCTCTCTCTCTCTACAGCCCATGGAGTGGTGTGAGCCGGTTCACTACGTGTGGTGCTGCTCCGCCAGCCCCGGACCCACCAAAGGTGCTGCAAGTGACTTGCTCCACGGCAACGCTAGAGTGGAATGCCCGGCCCTGTGATGACTCCTACACCCTCTCCATAGAGCAGGAAGGATCGGTAAGTCTGCTTTGCTAATCCCGGCTAATCTGTCTCTATTCTCGCAAAATTTGCATCCTCTTGTGAGATGTCTCTGTAATGTGTGTTGAAGTGTACTTTGCCGTTCAAATCGCCAGTTTCCACGAAATACCTTCCATGCGCACTGTGGAGTAAGTTTATTTTATTTCGTAGTTTCATTTTGGAATGTATATTTTGCCAACGTACTATGGCAGTTCTATTGTAGTGCCATTTTTTGTCAGTGTTGATCAATGGATTTTGATAACGTTGACGTAGCATTGAGCAGGAATAATTGCTACATTATGCCGCTACTGAAATACCTGCTGTGGTATTTCTACTGTCTGATATCTGTAAGCTGTTGTAGTAGATACTCTTCAATTCTAACTTCAGTTGCTAGCCTGTGCATTGCAATTTATCGTGAAAATGTTGTTTGTTCATGTACTGGGTTATAATTCCCGAGGCAGTTACATTGCCATCTAACTGCTTCGCGCAAAAAAGAAAAAAAGTCATTTATGCATATTATCCGATAGCTGATTCTCTTACTGTTATAGCTTGAATTTAGGAACTGGGTGAACTAGTGATAAAGCTTTTTTAAATGAGTATAAATGCTAAAACAATCTTCTTAATGTAAGAACTGTGTGCCAGTGTAGTGGTTTTCACTTACTTATTAGTGATGTATTTTTATTTCTCACTGCAGCAACATGGCTTCTTGCCAGTTTACAATGGGTCTGACACAAAGTTCACCTGCACACGTCTTGTCCGTAAAACCGAATACAGGTTTCGGGTAAGTTTTCAAGCTATTTTTCTCACTGTTATGACTGAAAAGGAGTGTGTGAAAGCATGGGGGGGCTAGCTGAAATTGGTACACTATCAACCAAGTTAAGATGCATGGAAAAATCAGTGTGAGCTACAATGGTGTGAGAGCTAAAGCCACTTCAGGGTACCTCGCTCAATGATGTGCCCTGTCCTTGTATTTAGTTTTAAGCATTTGACTAGTACTGCTTGCATTAATTTCATGCAAGCGCAGTTTGAACATTCATGCAGTTGTCACAAGCTCGTTAACTTGATGATCTTATTATTGCTCTCATCCTTGGGTGTGCCATTGTTTTATATAGAACCGACCTTCTTTGATTCATTCACTAAGACTAGTGTAATGACGTTATAGATCTGCAATATTTATTGTTCTACCTCTTAGTTTCTGTACGTGAGATACTTCAGTTCCAGCCACTGTAGGACAAAAAGAGGCACAGTTTTCTTTTTTTGTCTCTCCTATGAGGGATGCGTGCATAAATGAACATTTTGACAGGCACATCACTTTCTCCTAAGTCTCCTTCACTTGCCCACTTTGTACAGTTGGTTGCCCACAATGAAGAAGGGCTCAAGCGGCCCGAGCAAGGTCGGAACCCTTCAAACTCTGGCCGATCGGCCGGGAAGGCCGTCCCGTCCCTCTGCTAAGGGCCGCGTCCACAGCAATCACTTCGTTGCAGCTTGGGGTGAGAATCTTCCTTCACTTCCCATGCAAGCGTAAACTGCGATTTTGCCTTATTGTTGAACAAAGGTGCATTGCGCTCTGTAACAGTGTGCAAAGCCACATCAACCATGTAAGTTTTCAAAGTGGAAGGCTCTGAAGTTAAGGTGAAGTGCAATCTTTGTACAGTGAAAGACACCCAGTGGCACAATCGCAGCTGCCGCAATTTGCAGTGTTTTGTAAAGCTCCTAAAGCTTTACAGGTGCTTGATAAGCATTGCTTAGTTGTGGGTACAGCTAGCATGAAAGCTTTAGAGACTACTATTTCTTAGAAAACTGAATTTTCAGTAATTACCGACTATTCAGTTGAATCGCACAGTACTTGTCAGTGCACTTCTGAAATCGAAATTCAAGGCTGCTTGTTGAAATAGTGAGAATACTCAGCTTTTTGTTGCCTCGTGGTCTTTAAACTTTTGACTCTGACTGTAGTTGATTCAGCGCACACTGTAATCTTATTAAATACCACTACAAGGAGCTGTAAAATTGGTTTTCTGCAACAGCTCATGCATGCCGAGATCTAGTGAGGCTTTTGAGGGGGTAATGGCTACACATGTCATGGCTACACATGTCATGTCAACAAGAAATGTATTTTATGTACATTTCAGATATTCATTCATGTCTGACTTGAAACTTGCATTTTCATGTTCTAGATGCACCCTAAGGATGACGGGGGTGCACCTGTCACTCAGTATTGCTTGCAGATGGATTCTGGAAAGGGTACGTTTTCATTTCCCAGGCCATTTAAGCTTGAAAAATGCTCAGTATCAAATGTTTACTTATATACAAATAAAATCAGGTTGCATACAAATCGTACGTAAAATTAGGTTTGGCTGCTTTTAGGTTTGCTACCGGTCCGGTTCTAGACTGGCTTGGCCAGTTTTTAGACTGTGAGCCGATTGCCAGTTCATCATTGACCTTTTTTTTTTTTTAGAGCAGTAGTCGAAGCGTCATTTTAATCACAGGTATTTTTGTGCCAGCTATTAATGATTGATATGTCGTGTTTAATGTTTCAAAATCACCATATGATTATCAATTTGACTAGTAGGTTATATCAGTGTATCACCTTTGTTAGTACGTCAGGTTTGTCTGACTCAAGCAAAGCGATTTAATGGCACTGCATGCCAAAGGCCTAACATGACGTCTATTGTTCAGCATTTATTTAATCTCCTAGTAGCTCAACCGCCCTCCCCCCGCCGTAGGGCGTTTTTTGTTTGACAAAAGGTCTCAACCCTAGCTACTCTGAAATTTGATTTTGATTAGTTTCACTGTTTTTGCGTGACAGCAACAGATCAGCGGCAGATGCCTTGCATTAGCATACATTTTATTGAACTTTGATGTGTTGTGTCTGGATTCAGCTGTATTAGACATACGTATAGCAAGCAAAAGTTGCCTTTCCTGACTGGAAATTGTCCCAACTGTGCTCTCTTCATACAGGATTTGATTCAGTGTACACTGGCTCGGAAAGGGAGGCCACATGTTCTGGCTTGGATCCGGGTTCCTCGTACAGGCTCAGAGTGAACTGCACAAGCTGTGGAGGCACCAGTGACGTAAGCCCGAGGGATTTCCCAAATGTGCTAGCATTGTCTGGGCTTTTACTGTGTCACAGGTGCAGGTTAGAAAAGGGCTAGAGACCTCAGATTTCATGGTAGCATGCCTGTGTGCACCATTTCATTGATGGAAAAGTTGAAATCAAAATTGGGAATAACACACGTTTCCTTTTGTGCGTTATACCGCAGCTGTCGCGTGAGCACTTTGATCAAGATAAGTTCGTCGCTGTTACGCCGTACCGCGTAATCTCGATCAAGTTTGACGCGGGCGCCCGTGAAATCGTGATCGATGAGCCTCATTGTGATGCACAGATCGCAATCATACTAATCCCAATTCGGCTTTATTGCCATTAAATGGTGGTCTACCAGCACACAATCCAACTCTAGCCTAATCCAGAATGGCCATTATCACAATCAAAAGTGCCTTTGTGACACCAGTACTTGACATTTGTGGCGGTCTTCGAGTTTTTTTTTTTTTTTAACCAGGGCAACTTGTGGGATCCGATCAGTGTGGTAAGCTGCGAAAGCTTTAAAGCGAGAGCGTTAAAAAGCTTGTTTTACAGAAATTTTAGGGTCAACTTGGTTGTGAGCGAAAAGTCATATTGTCTGTGACCGAAAAATTGAAAGACTTAAACAAAATAAATTATAAGGATGGATCCTACACAGTCAGCAAGGCAAGCAAGGGTTCTACCACAGAGCCATAATATTTGTTGAATGTCATGTAGTAGGAGGAGTCTTCGTAACGCATCATATATAAGCACAGAGTCACGCCAGGGTCAACAGGTGTGAATTGAGCAACAAGTGGTTATTTTAAAGGCCGAGCGATTACAAAGTGCTCAGACATAAGTAATCATCGGCAACAGAACCATCAACAAAGTGAACTGCATAGGTTTGTGTGTCGCCCTACAGATGGGTGGTGGGCCCTTCGCTGATTTGCAAAAGGAATAATTATGGCATAGTCTTTAACAACTGCAATTGCAATAGGCATTCAGTGATACTTTGAAACAGCTTATGTTACGCGCACAGTCGTTGGCTTTCTCACGGCATGGTTGAGGCATGCACAGAGAATTGAAGCAGGCTTGCATACAAGGCCCGATTACACTATCGCAATCTATTCTTGAGGGCAAAGCTCAAGCTTCCTCCAATTTTTTATTGATCATCTCCATTTTGTCTAGGTTTTTTTCCCTAAATGTTTCAATAGAGCTTATAGAAATACTAATTTGTCTCTAACCATAGGGATCTGTTTTTTTATCTTATAAATGTGCAGGGCTTATTAAGTGCTCTTGTGTTGGTGTGTACAAGATGACTAACTCTTTCACCACTGTTTCAGTTTTCCGAGGTGTCTACTGTTGTAACAACTGCCCTGTGCCCTGGAATGTGCGACCCTCCTCGACTCCACGGGAAACCCAAAGCCATTTCAGCTCACCTGCGATGGGGTCAGCATTTCCTCTGCACTTCCCTAATCTAAAGGCATATACGACACAAAGTTGTGGTTATTGCTTTTACATTCATGGATTCTTACTTCCAAAGGCATTGTTTGGTTCGTTCTAGGCGGTCATTGGTGTAGGGGCCATAATCATGCACCCTCTCAATTTCTTTCTCCTTACTGCCATTCTGCCTCTCTAGAAACTCTTGGAAATAGAGCAATTTTCATTGCATCATCCAAAATATCCAAGCAGCGCTTACAATCTAGGATATCTCTGCAACTAAACAGGAGTGTGATTCACATCTCTTATGGTTTAGTGGGCTTTCTCTTGCCTTCACATGCGCCACATTTTTGCCAAGGCTGTTTCTGAAATGTTGTAAAAGCGGGGTGCGTTAAAAAAAGTGAATGTGTGCATATGGCTCCGATGGCTGGCAAAAAATTTTTAATGATCTGAAATGTAGTAATTGTATATACGAAGTGTGTAGTAGTTGCATTTTTTTGTATATAATTAAAATAACAGTCTAATGTGCACTGGTGCTCTGTAAGAGCAACGAGTAACAATGCTGCCAAGAAAAACAGTCTGTGCACTTCCTCTAACACAGCTTATCGCTGAGACAGCAGCAGACTTACAGCAGTATTCCACGGCCTTTGTTATTGCATCTTTGCTGTTTCACAACTTTTCAGGACAAGCATTGAAAGTGAGTTCCAGACATTATGGTTCAGTGCAGATCATGGACTCACTGTGATACTGCACATAGTCTTCATATGGAACATTGCTGTAAAGATTGAGCTGGTAACAGACCTTCATCCTTCATATGAGTGCAAAAGCTGTATCGTACCGATTTTGAGAATGATCCCTGGTCTGCAAATCCAGGTGCATCTAAAATATACGCTCAGAAATTCATATAACAAAAGATTTTGCATGCACACACAAAGATCGTTATTTTGAAATATCCATTAAGCAGACATTGGCACAACTGAAAAGTTGCTGTACGTGGTTGCTGTGAGTCTGTATGAAGTGTAAACACTCAAATAAGTAATGCACGAGGCTCATAATGCACTGGTTTGTGTACTTGAGCAGGAGCAGCGTCGTCAACAGGTGGGGCTGCTGTGACAGCGTATGAGCTCCAGGTGTCCGAGGAAGACGACAGCCAGTCACGAGTGGCTTACCGAGGGCCCGACATGGACTGCACCGTGGCCGGGCTCTCGCCAGGTCGTACCTACCTGTTCCGTGTGCGGGCAGTCAACTCAGTTGGGGTAAGCGAGACATGTTGGGCATTTTTAGGCCCAGTCCTATTTATCTACATCCCTCCCATTTACCAACTTGCCATACCTTCATTTTGCTTTGCTGAATTTTCTCTCTGAGAATATTGGATATTAAGGTTGATACGTGAAGCAAAAACAATCATGGTAATGAATAAATTACCGTATTTACTCGATTCTACCGCGCCCTCGATTGTAACGCGCACCCGATTTCCACGGCGAAAAAAAAAAACGTAAGACATCGATTGCAACGCGCACCCATTTTTCTCGCTGGCCCGCACGATCACACCACTCGAAAAACGACTCCTTTCGGGGGCATCTTCCATTTAAATATGGGGTACGGGCGAAGCTTGTGCCCATCTGACGAGTAACAGAGCATTGCCGTCACTGTAGTTTTACCGTGGACCGATGTCAGCACGCGAACTTGCTTCGCCCCTTTCTTCTCGACGGTTGTGGTGCCAGGCATGTCGAAGTAAAGAGGCGTCTGATCGGCATTCCCGATTTGCCCAAGCAGGTAGCCGTTGTTGCGCCGCAAGTTTAGGACGAACCTCTGAAAACTGTGAAGCTTTTCATCGTACTCCTCCGCGAAACTTTTCGCATATGCATGTTCCCCTTCGGAGGGAAAAGCCTTTCCTCTTCATAAAGTTAGTTAGCCAGCACCAGCTCACTTTGAACTGGCTCCGCATTAGACCTTTTTCTAAGACTAATTGCATAGCCCGCACTTGGAGCAGTTCTGTCGTCACGGGCCGCTGTGCCGCTCGCTGCTCAAGCACATACTCGCCGAGCAGCTCTTTAATTTGCGGAAACCGACCCTGCTGCGGTCCACTGAAGCCTTTGCGTGAAGCTTTGCTGTCGACAATCTTCTGCTTTTGTTTCCGCCGGTCCCGCACGCACGTTTCGGGAACTCCGAACGACCGCGATGCGGCCCGATTTCCGTCCGTTTCTGCACACGCGATGACTTTTCTTTTAAAAGCGGCATCGTGGTGCACTCGAGTTTTTGGAGTCGGCCCTTCCACGCCGTCGATGCTAATGCACTACTAGATGACGAACTCCTCAGTACACGTACGAAGTGCCGCACATGGGAAACATATAGGCAGAAATGGCCGACGCGCCATGTTGACGCACGTAGGGGCGGCCATTTTGGATTTGCCGAAGGCAATAGATTGACCGTAATTTTTTTGTTCGTACTCGATTCTGACGCGCATGCGATTTATGAACTCGCTTAACCGGAAAAAAGGTGTGCGTTAGATTCGAGTAATTACGGTAATATTCTTGGGGGAGTTCTTCAGTAAAACATTTTGTACGCATGGCACATACATCCATTTTGCTTCCAAATGAGGGCTTACTTGAAACACGCCACAGTGGTCTGACAGTTATAGTCCTTGACTACTGGCCGAAAGGTTGCGGGATTGAATTAGTTTGGCAGCTGCATTTCGATGGAGAGAAAAATGCTAGACACTTGTGTATTTCGATTTAGCTGTATGAGCCCCAGCTGGTCCAAAGCCTTCCATGATTGCAATTCTTGCAATTAGGCTTGGGCAAATATTCAAACGAATAATGCAGTATTTATATTCGCTGCGAGTTGAATTTTAATTATTGACAATTTTGAATTATTTGAGGCGTACGAATAAGTACATATTAATCTTCATGTAACATTTTGTAAAGGTGGTTTCACTGCAGTGGAAGGCTGCTCAACAGTGAAAGCACCTGTTTAGGTATATATGAGTTTGCATGTAAACCATCCCCCTGTAGAAATGGTCTCACTGTAGTGAAGTGGTGCAAAGCTGTGAAAACACATAATTGGGAGAATTTCGCACTGCCGCAAAGTCTCGCTTCAAGGTTAAATGAAAGTATTACTCACATCAATTCATTTTTTTTTTCAGTTTAAAAGCTCGTTATACCAACTTATATACTCTAAGTATAGTAAATTTTAAAACACATTTTACAGGTAATCGCTTGCATTCTACAGAAATTCAAATCCTGCTGCTATTCAAAGTTGTTTCCACTTTCTTTGATAGAAAAAATATGGCATTTGCACATGCCTTGCTTGAATTTTCCAAAAAATTGCAAGTTAGTTTGGTCATGGCAAATATGCCCCTCTTTTTTTATTATATGTGATATATACACTATTCGAATTCAATTCGAAATTGTTCGACTGAAATCACAATTCGCTTATAACCTAAAGTTCACTATTCGCCCAAGCCTACTCACAATCATTATGGTCTGGGGAAATATGCAGTCAAACCCGGCTACAACGAACACTGCTTCAACAAAATTTCTGCTACAATGAAAAATTCTCAATACCCCTTCAGCGATTCATAGGAGTCGATGCATAATCTCCCCACAAAGAAAGCTTTTTCTTGTGCCGTTCCGCTTCAACGAAATTCGACGATGCAATTTGAGGCTAAGATATTTAATGCCGTGCAGTAAGCACAATCTTGAACATTTTGATGCATTTTTAGAACATAAAAATACGTCTATGAAGTCTAAAAGGCGCCTTGGCACCACCAGAAACCACCGCTTTTTACCAAGCATGGTGGCCGCCATTGCTCAATAGTGATGGCAATGAGACTTCCTTGATTTTGCCACTGGCTTGCTTATGAGCCGCGGACAATCTGAAGCTGAAGCTTAGTTTCCTACATGCTGCCCGGCTCCTAGGTGCAGTTGCGGAATGGTGCCTTTTGATGCCAGTCAAGAATATACAAACAAGAATAGCATAGATTAAGGCATAACTCACTGCCCGACATACCACGTCTGCATCTTGGCGTTCTCGGATGCCTTTTGACGGTGGACAGTGCTGGTGTTAGTGTGTTTGTACAACTGCTGGGTTCGCTCATGAAAGCTGTTCATTATTTTCGCGTGCTTTTCAACATGGTGTCGCTATTCATGTGTGAAAATTGCATCCTGATGCTGCTGGTAAAAAAAAATGGAAGGAACCAACGCCTTTTGAATGAAAGCATAAAGTTGCGAGTGAAAACACAAACTTTTTTGTCCAAAAAGTCTGTGATGCATTTGTTTTGAAAAGTAGAAACGATTAGGGCAGTCTCGAGTTTATTTCAAGCAGCAGCATGCTCTTCGCCGTGCTCCGTGGCATAAGCTGCATGAGGCTCTGGCTCCAAAGTTTTGTCGTTCTTGCAATCCGATTCAGACGAATTGCTCTTGCCGTATACTTCATTCACAATGCCCTAATTCGTGCACGGTTCTGCGGTGTCGACATCATCATCGGCCTTAATAAAACCATCTTAACAGATGTCCCACCCACTTTCCCATGTTGGAGTCGACGATGGCATGCCACAAATCGCTGCTGGAGTGGTCCTGTTCGAAAGCTTCCGGCTTGGCATCGGGCCCGACGCCGACAAAGTCGGCCTCGCGAAAACAGTATCGCACGCAAGTAGCAGTCAGCACCACCCATGAAATCGTCACCATCTCCACAGCTGAACACCGGGACACCCGAAGTGGCAAGTTGGCTGCCAGGTGGTCAACAACTATGATCAAGCACTCCGCAATGCGGCACCTAATGTGTGGATTAAGCCCAAGCCAAGCTGTCACAATTTCTACGTTTTGTTGAGCGGCGGGAAAAAGCTTGGAAGGCCTCCCGTCCACCATCCTGACTACACACACACCAAGAGCGAGCAAGACGCGCACGTGCGACACACATGCCAGAACGCTTGGAACAGCTCTTGGCCTGTTTCTAGTCTTAAAACGAGACTTCTGAATTCGGCCAGCATGGTGTCGCAGAGCCATGGAAATGGGCGAAGGAGTTGTGATCAAGAGGGGAGAGCAGATTTGCGAGAGAAGGGTTGAGTTGCGATAGAGTGAAGAGAGGGAGGATACGGCGGGAAGGTGACCTTGAAAACCAAAACGCACGGTAAGAAGGCAGGTAGAATTTTAGGGCCTTTAGGTCGGCTAGCTTGCTTTAAAGGTCTGCAAAACGTGCAACTCTTGCATATAAAAACTTGAAAGAGCGCCTGCACACGCAGAGGTCAAAGAATCTTTTTGTTGTGCCGATGGGTTTCCGTGGCCTCACAGACTTCGTTAATTCGTGATTTGTTCTGCGCAACAGCCGTTTTTACGCTTCTGCACGTGCGGAGGGCATACTGAGCCATGTGTGGAGTGAGCGAGAACAGGCCCCAACACGAAATGAATCGCGAATGATTAGAGTCTGTGGGGTAGCGTACGTGCGTGCACTAGAACGATAATATAAGAAAGGACGCAGACAATCTGATACAGTGGGTGGCCGACCATGTTGGCAAATGGTCTGGGCACTCCAGGCCGGCGACGCCAACGACAGTGCCAGCCTTCAAAAACTGAGGGGAGACTATAGTTGGCCGACCGGTCTTCGAAAGATGAGTGGTCGTGGGAAAACACGGGCTGCGTTTGGCGATGCGGGGTGCTCAGAGTGGGGGGGGGGGGGGGACAAAGGACGGAGGGGTGTCGGGGAGAGCGGCAACTAGAGGGGCGCGAAGGCAGGGTCGGCGTCTAACAATAAGAATCTATGGGCACCTCGCCGATGCCTGCTCAATGGCCAAAAGTGGCTTCGCTTCCTGGGAAGTCGGCAAAGCGCAGACTCCATTCGCTTGTCCTATTCATCCGACGAAGCACCACTGCCTTCTGAAGACGAGAGTTTGTCGCTAGCCGCCTCCCACAGTGCGTCGTCTTCAGCGCCATCCAGCGAGTTTCTGATGCAACATTTCTTTGAAAAATTTTCCACCATGGACTCCGGCAAGGAGCGCCAGGCGGAAAGTACCCAGCCACAAACAGTCGCAAGCGGAGGCCTCTGTAGGCGGCTTGTCGGTGTGTTGGGGTTGTCGCCGGACATCCACTCTTGGTATTCCAGCCACACTCGGTGCTTGAATGGCTTGTTTAGTACAACGTCGAGCGGCTGGAGGTTGGACGTCATACCACCTGGTATCACGGCGAGGTCCGTTTTCTCGTCGCCGAGTGCGCGTTTCACTGCGTCGGTCAAGTGAAGTGGCCACGAAACGCATCCAACACTAGCATGCTGCGAAGACGCAGCAGTGCACCTGGCCGACGGTTCCACACCACTCGTATCCATTCGAGCATCATGGCCTTGTCCATGTATCCCTTTTTGTTGACGCGAACGACAACACCGGGTGGGAACACTTCCCTCGGCATTGTCTTGCGTTTTAAAATTATGAAGGGCGGAAGCTTTCTACCATCTGCCGTGCATGCCAGCATGACGGTGAAGCGCGAGTGCTCGTTGCCAGTGGACAGCAGCTTCACATCCTTGGCGCCGCGCTGCGTGATCGTGGTCGACGAAGGCATGTCAAACCACACGGGGGTCTCATCAGCGTTGCCAATCTGCCTCATCATGTAGTCGTTCTGCTCCCGAAGCCCGTTTACAAAGCGCTGAAAGTTTGAGCTTGTCCTCGAACTCCTCCGGCAACTTTTGACAGATGGATGTGCGCCGCCGGAAAGAAAATCCTTTGCGTCGCATAAATCGACGCACCCAAGAGTTCGGTGCATGAAACTCTTCTCTCGTGAGCCCAGCTTCCCGAGCGAGTTCCACGGCTTTCTTGCGAATGGTATCCACGGTCACTGGCAGCGAGCGCGCACGAACTTCCCGCACGAAGTCCGCTAGCTTATCCTTCAGCTGCAAATGAACGGCACTTCGTCCACGAAACGACATTTTTCGGAGATTGCACATCTGCAACTTCCCTTTCTGCGCCTTCCCATAGCGCACGTTTTTTTTCTGATACACCAAAACGGCGCTGAGCAGCCATATTCCCTTCGCTTCTGCGAACTTAACAACATCTAGTTTAAATGCAGCTGAGTACTGCCTCCTCGCACCGCTGGACATAGTCAGTGCACGAAAAAAAAAGGCCACTAAAATGCCGCGCATGTCAATCGGAGCGAAACTCGGAACAGATCAGAAGCAATCCGAACACAAAGAAAACAGACTGCGATTGGATTTGGATGTGGATATGGCCGCGTCTGGCCTTACAAGCACATGCAAGCCATATGTTGCCAGACAGCGTTGCACTTTCGGCTAGAAACCGCTATATAAGACAAGGGGTGACTAGCTTATTATTTTATTGAAAAAATCTCTTCTTATATTCCGGTTTATACGGTAAGTGCGATTTTGTGCAAGTGGGTTTTTGTGCCATTGTGAAACAATGTATATTTTCACGGCCATGCGAATGTTGTAAAGTGCAAATGCACAGAGACTACAGACACACTCGTCAAGTCTTCTTCTGCTGTCTTTGTCCATTCATGCTTTCTGCAATAAATTTTTTTGTGTTCACCTTAACTGGCATTCACTATGCCCACACTTTTTTTCGACTGACCAGTGCTCTCTATCTCACACTTACAGTTCTTTAACTTATCTCGCGCTTCTCTGTTTCACATTTTTACACCACTTTATGCAATCTAACATTTAATTTTGCCTATTTGACAAGGCGGGGCCCTGGTCGGAGCCACTGCATGCGCAGAGTGGTGCGGGTGCCCCAGATCCACCAGCCAACCTGGCAGTCCAGGTGAAGAGCTCGACCTGCGCTGCAGTTTCATGGGACGAAGCAGTCTGTCACGGAGCTCCAGTCTCCGAGTACCAGCTTGAGTACCGTCGCACCGACAGCGAAGATGATGCTGCCTATTCGCAAGTGTATGCTGGACGTAACACCCACTACGAAGCACGCAGCCTCGAGCCAGCCTCGTCTTACTGCTTCCGCGTCATGGTGAGTTCTTCGGCAATTTTTATGTAACCACTTGGCTGGTTTAACTTCGAGAGCAATGGAAATATAAACGCTGTAGAACTAGTGGAATAATTGTGGATTATAGTCTAATATCCAGGCATTGTTAGGGCATCAATGTGGTGACTCTGTAGCACCAAAATGAGAGCTGAAACTTGAGATAACTTCACAAACAGCGTGGAAAGTTGGGCAAGTTGGTAAGATTTCATTTTGGTCGAACTGCACAGTGTAATGAGACAAAATTTTCCTGATTTTTTTTTTCTGTTACCACACAGTTTCGCCAAAGAAAAAATAAACTTCGCAAGTTAGATTCTACGCAGCAGGTGACAAGACACACTCAAGAAAATTTAATGCAGAGAGATAAGAAGATGCCTTAATAGATTCGGCAAAACAGATAACTGTGACCAGTATTTCAGCTTATTAGCGTTGCTGACTAAAAAATTGCGGCCTCATCTTATTTATTTTTGCAGCAATGCGGTGCTGTGGGCCTACTAATCATAACATGGAACATTGTTGGTGGCACCATGCGACGATAATTACAGGCTCTTCGTGGCCAGCCAGTCTCATTTTCGGTTTGAGAGAACTCCAAAAACAAGCCGTTGGGTGCAGATGTCAACACCTAGCGTGTGCAATGTTCAACCACATCAGCACACAAGACTGTGATTATTTCTGCATGGTACACATCAAGAAGTTTGTTCTAACAGGAAACAGGACATCAGTGTCGCCAAACACAAGTCTCAATGCATGCGCCTCTATGGACTTCTGAGCAGCCACTAAGTAGTATTGCTTTTAGGTACACTTGACTGTGGCACAAAATAAATTCCGTGAAAAAAGGGGATCAGAAGGGAACAAAGTGAAGCGCTGAACTTCCAGCGTCACTAAGTAGTAGTTTGCTGGAGCAAACACTGCAAAAGACAAATGGCGGCTATGACATCATCATTACTTGTATCGACTGCAGCATCGTGACATGAGGGAATTAGGAAGGTCACCGTAAGTCATCTTGCTCGATATCGCTCATATACGTCATGTAAGGTACCTTTCAAGCTATGTTCCTTGTTGATATTTTGCAGATGATGTACACATGTTCACAGGAATCGATGCCCCAGGCTGTCCCAGTCACATAATTTCGTGTCGTACCCCTTTAAGAAATGGACATGGACAAGTCATGGGAAGCACACATAAGCGATGATCAGAGTCACAGTCAGGTTATGAGATGGGAAGTACTGCGAGGTACAGCAAAGTGTTAAATGGAGCTACGAAGCTACACAAAATGGAATTAGCTCATGCAGGACAGGGTGGTGTGGAGATCATTGGCCGAGGCCTTCATCTGCAGTGGATGTAAAATAGCCCAGCTGTAACAATGTAGACAAAATGTCATCGTCTTCCACTAGTGGTGAAAGGCTAGACTAGCAGCCAACAGATTATTAACAAGGTTTTAATTAACATTGGCATGGTTTTAAGGCATGGCTGATGAGAAATCTCATCATAGGTAGCTGTGACTCGCTTCCTTGTGGGCAGCTTCTTTGGGTGGCTCGATTTTTTTTTTTTCTACCCGCGGTGGTGACACTGAAGCAGAGGCAACAAGAGTGTCTCTCACGCAACACCAATAACTCTCATCTCCCTTCTGATGTCAATGCCCCACACTGCTTCCACACTTGCCGTTATGTGGCTTGGGGGAATGGGGGGGGAATAGGAGGCAAAGCGCATGCCTGCTGCAAACAATGTTGTCAACGCGCACAGTGACATCGCAGCTAGGTGAAGTTTCTTCTGATCGTGTAAACTGGCATAAGGAAAAGCTTAATAACCCCTTTGTAACATTTCGAGGTCATTGTTGGTACAGCACTCGCTCGTATGTGTGGACTACAGTTTCATTGTCTCGTGCTTGGTCATGCAGGCCTGCAGCAGCGCTGGCTCGAGTACCTTCTCTGAACCGATAGGGTGCAGCACGCCTGCTGGTGTCCCTGGGCCTGTCGGGTCTATGACGTGTGTCCGGGGGCCCACTAGCCTCGAAGTGTCCTGGTCAGCACCTGCGTGCCATGGTGCTGACATCACCCACTATCTGGTCGAAGTGTGCGAAGGACCACCGGTGCATAGTCAGGCACAGGCAGCATCCAGCCCAGCAGCATCGTCATCCGTGACACACACCACTGAGGGCACCCAAATTCTGCTCACAGACTTGCAGCCGGAAACCAACTACAAGTATGTCCTTAAAGCTTTTTCAACCAAGCTTGCAGAACTGAAGTGCTCTCTGTGAAAGCATAAGTTCAGAAAGTGTTTGGCGAGGAAGGTGTTTTAAAGCTTTTGCCACTTGTTTCATTTCGACATGCTACAAGAAATTGCATCAATGCTCATGATAAAAGCGGGAAAAAAAAGGAACAATGCACAGTGATGTATGTTTCTACCTTCTGGCCCCCTTGTCATATCTCCTGATGTATCGTATTTACTTGTATCTAGGCTGACCCCCGATTCTAAGCCGACCCTTAAAAGTCCAAAGCCTGGAAAAAAACAAAACAAAGAAACTTATCTTTAATCTGGGCCAAACGAAACAGCGAAGACAGCGTTCACAAAGGGAAAAAATTTCACAAAGGGAAGATGAAACAAAGCAGGCACTTCATGGTGCAGATAACTCGAGAAACCGCAGCTGCTAGTCCTGTTGTGTGTGTGTTTCATCGTTTTTTTTTTTTTCACACTGCTTCTACTTAATTGCTTCACAAAGACGCCACGCTCATTCCGTGTCGTTGTTGCCGACTTCTTTATCGCTGTCTTCAAACGGAGCACAATCCTCAGTGCCATCAAGTGCATTGAATATGCTGCACTTCTTTAAAAGAGTGCACAAAGTTCCCAGGTGGTCGTCCCACGCTACAGCCCCTTCACCGAGGCACATTTCTTTCATCTACTCCTAATTTTTGACTGGCTTGAAGGTGGGCGACTCGATATGACAAACGGCTCGCCTCAACACTCGCCACAAAGATCAAAATGGCGGCCTCACGTGTGTACTTAAGGGGGGACGTGGCAAGTAAAACTAATTTTTTTATTAATGTACTGTTTGTGATGAAATTTGGTGTGTGTATGTGGATGATTGTGAGGATTCCAAATATGAAAACCGTTTTCAAATACCTCTTGTACTTTTTGAGTTACAAGCATAATTATACTAATTAATGCTCTTCACACTTAAAGAGATAATTATTGCTAAATGAAATTATTTTTTCATATTATTATGTTCCCAAAGCATCAACTTGTGCAAAGAAGCTATTAGTTGATTTTTCTAGTTCTTGTAACCATAAATAAAATTTCCAAAACATGGATGTTGTTTTGCGCACACATCGCAGTAATTATAAAATGTGTTCTAAAAATTTTAAATGATGAGTAAGAAGAGAGATAAAGCTTTATTGCACTGCTAAGGCCTCCTGAGCCTAGTGCAAAAAACGGAACGACTCTATCAGTCTTTGTTAAAAAATGACAGATGTTCTAGCGAAGGCACATAGGCGAAAATCAAGAGTTGAGAAAACTGACTTTGAAAGTTCACTCTTGTTTGGAAGTTCACAACATGCCTAAAACACTCAGAATCCTCCTGGGCAGTAATCCTGAGATGCTGTGGCCTTGGCCTCTGTAGAGCGCAACCCAGTTTTGCGCTTCTTTGTCGTGGAACAATGCGCCTTTTGAGCCCTCTTCACCCTTTTGGCATCCTTTTCGGCTGCTCGCCGCAAAGAGCAGTCTCCTGGATTGAAGCCCAGTTGAGCAGTGATCTCTTGCAGCGCACTCTTGCAGCCACCATTGAAACGGCAGACTGCATCTGCAACTGCACTTTCCACACTTCGAAGGGAGGCGAACTGGCTCTTGGACTGGAGTGACCAAATGAGGCTGTTCATACTCTCCACAGCGTTCTGGGTTTTTCCCTGCGCACACCTTTCAAGGAGCTCTTTGTTCGAGAGGCGCTTGTAGATTGGCAGCAGTGCCACTCGCACGTGAGGGGGCAGTTTATGTTTGTGAGGCGGCAGCGGCTCTCCCTTGGCCAATGCCTGATTGTGCGGGCACCAGGAGTCAGTCCCACTTGGGCACAGGTCGTGGTGTGGATCCTGGTCTGTGGATGTTACATGGTAATAAGTGGCCATGATGGCCCTCTCCATGCCAGGAACATCGTTGGGGTGGCTCTTAATGGCCCAGCCATAATAATTCGTCAACTTCTTTATAAGGCCCTGCGTCAGCCGGCCTTTGCCACCCATGCTCAGTCCTCGGCCTTTGGATTTGTGCTCATCAAGAAGGTTGCGCAAGGAAGTGCCCATTCTTTTTTCACATGGTTCACACACTCCTGTTTCTTAATCAACATGTAGCCATACACCTTGTCTTGCGTGAGGGCAAGGTACGTACGGCTGTCACCGTCGCAGAGCACATTGATGTATCGAAGCTTGTACTTGGTAAACGATCTTTCAAACATGATCCTCGCTGCTTCTACTTCCATTTGGCCTGCATTAGCATCGGTGTTCTTTTGGCACTGTGGCTTGTGTTTCTCAAGCCACTCCTCATAGTTGTCGTCACCAGGCTTGGGGCCAACAGCACAGCCTTGGCAGTAGTTGGACAGGACACAGTGGTCCAAGACCAAGCCTGTGTACAGCTCGATTACACAGCCCACGCCAATATGACTTCTGTTGCCCCCTCGTCATCCACGTGCCGTCGTAAATGACGTCAATGTTGCCTGGCACTCCTCCTAGGTCCTTGTAAATGTCATGCACCTTCTGTGCACTTTCTGCTTCAATGCGGGTGGCAGCTGATGTGGTGGCAGGGTGGCTGTACTTCCTTTGCAGTCTCTGGTAGGACTTGTGGTGCAGTGCTCGATGCGAAATGTCCATCGCAGAAAAAATGTCATTTATGGCAGATTGTTTTCTGCCAACTGACTGCACAGCCCTCAAAGCACGCACGTTTACCTCAAAGGGGTTCGTTTTTTGTTGCCCGGAGCACCTCGGGGACGACCACGCACTGTTCACTATGCCACAATTGTCACAAAAAAGTTCCATCCTCGCCGCGAGTCCAAGGCAGTGCGTAGTCTCGAGGCGTATCGACCCTTCGTCGCACTTTTTGCACTTTACTGACGAAAGCAGACCGTTCAGCATCTTCTTATTTACAATGAAGAATGTGGAGTCCTTACCGCCGTCATTTTCGTCGCAGCCTTCGTTCAGAAGCTCGAGCTTCCGCTTTGAAGCGGATTTCGATGCTACGGCATCCAAAACATCCCGCCTTGTCTGCGCCCGCTGCGCGATTTCTTCACTGCTCGGAATCTGGGCCGAAACTCGCGATAGAATGTTCGACGCGCGCACGCCCGGAGTTGCAACTGCTGCCGACGCGGTGCCACCGCAATCGGGTTCGCGAGAGCGTCCATCACGGTCGACGGCATCCGGCGGTCTGACATACGACGATGTGGCACCTTCCACACTCTCGGCCTCACAACAATCAGCGAAGGGTCTGAGTAGAGGCTCCGTGACGCTTGAAGAGCATGCTCCGTCCGGAACTGCGACTGGGACGGCAGCCGCAGTCGTCTGCCCTTTGTTCCAAGCTTTCCGACGCTTGCCGTACTTGTGGACGCTCCGGAACTTTTTTTGCGACAACATAGCACCGCAGTATGAGCAAGCACTCAGAAGAGACCACCGATGTAAACAAAGCTTGGTAAAAAAAGCACGCGAACTATCACAAAAACAGCCAACTGGCAAAAAACGAAGCGCACGCCGGATGATTCTCGACTCGGCGGCCGCAGATGCGCTCGCGCTTCCAAGGTTGCCAAGGTGCGCGGCGCAGCTTTGACCAGTAAGAGGTCGCGCCTGCTACCACGTGACCCGCGCAGCCAATTGCCGTTCTTCGTTTTCGTTTTTTTACTTGCTCCTCGCGCTTTTATTTTCACTCGGCGAAATACGAGACCGCGACCATCGGGAAGCCGGCTTTCTCCTCTTTCCAAAGCTACCAAATGGCGGCCCACGGTCAACAACTTGGCGCGTTTGTGCGGCGTGAACATCACCGTTTCAGGGGCTTTTTTTTCGCACTTTTCGGCGACTAGCCTCGGCAAAAACACTATTTGCGGGATTTGTAGCGCACGTTTCGCTGTAATATTTTAGAACAAGGAAGTTGAAGGTCTGAAGATTACGAAAAAAAATAAATCAGAAAATCGCATATTTTGACCAAAATCGGCACTTTACTTGCCGCGCCCCCCCTTAAGGGGGACGTGGCTTTTGAATCGTGAAAAATGGCCAAAGAAGCGATTTTTCGGAAATCCGATTTTCAATTTCCGTAACCTGTTATCTCTGATTCCAAAATATAATTCTCAATATCTGCCTAAAAAGTGCTTTAAAAAATCGTTTTGTCGCCTGATACGGCGCATAATATCGCGGAAGTCGTGAAAAAAAGCGTGATTTTTCAAGCCACGGTAACTTGGCAACAGCGCCACCAAGAGCCGCGAGCGTTCCTCCACTTTCAGGCGAAAAGAAATGCATAAAAAGCAAAGTCCCAAAGGTTTCGCGCTGAAGCCTCATTGGCTGCGCGTGTCACGTGACAAACGCGGGAGCGCCATTAGTCTCCTGAACAGTTGCCCTTGGCAACGGCGCATTCTCCTCGTACCCGAGTGCGTGCACCTCCCGCTCTCTGCTTTTTACGCCATTGAAGCGCTGAGCCGATATTTCAGTCGTTGGCAGCACGGTTTTGCCGTTAATTCTTTCCAGTGATTATGGATCGGCCACGGTGTAAGAGAAAATACCAAACATTAGATCAATTTGGCAGTTGTAAGCGCAAATCTCCGAATGTGAAACAGAAAGCATCTGACAAGCTGCTGACACGTTGCAGTCTTCTCGGTCAATGACTTCTCGGACCCGTGGCCGCGATCGTCGCTCAACGACTTCTTGAACTTTCGCGATCGTCGCTCGACGACTTCTCGAATCCGCGGCCGCGATCGTCGCTCGACGACTTTTTCGATCTGCGGCTGTGCTCGTCGCTCGACGACTTTTTCGATCCGCGTCCGTGCTCATCGAACACAGATGAAATGGCATCAGTAACTGCCAGTACAATTCAAGCTCGCTTGGAGCCTCATTACATATCGCTACAAGCCTCTCATGAGCGCACAGAGGCAATGAAAGCCTCACTCAAATTCATTTCGGCGACTGAACGAAAAATGAAGCTTCTTGGGGAGAATGTGCAACGCACTGATGTGGAGCTGGCAAAAG